AGTAGCTCTTTTAACATTGTGGCTATTAAAAGGATTGTAAAAAGGGTTTCTAAGCTTCTTATGTGTATCGGAAGCAATGATAGTCAGACATATTTGGTTCTTGCAATTATTAGCAGATTTTGCAATAGTCATAATGCGTTTAATTTTAGAAATACAGACATTTGACTGGAATGGTGCAAATCAAGGCTATCAGTGTCCCTATTTCACTTTACACAAGTTTGACTATCGCTTTAAGTTAAAAAAAGATGGATACAGTATGGTATCTATGAAGACTAACATTTAAACAAATCATATGTCACGTTGCACTTGACATTACACCAGACAAAAAACATTAGAAAAGGAATCAGTCAGACATTTTGAGACTGGATGGGATGGTAGGGTTATCAATGGCTATCAATGATGAGAAAAATATAAAGTGTTGTGAACCTAATTAACTCTACTGTATTCCTCGCTGATAGACATTCCACACACACCAACATTCACATTGATTATGTCTCAGATAAAGATACATATCAGTTATCTATGTAGACATATATCAAAGAGAAGATGCATGTGTATTTTGTTGATTTGTATCTTTCAACTATTGGCATCAGTGGTTGTAGTCAAAACATTTTCTTCTGTGATTTCGAATATGTTCTTGCAGGCTTCAATTTGTGCTGTTACACACAGCCTGTATCACATTTGAAAATCAAAAACACCATATTCTGACATCCATTTTCTCTATGATTAAGCTAGAAATAGTTGTATCTATAGTATTAATATTTTATTATATTATTTAAGATGTCATTAACTAGATCAATCTGGTGTCTACTACCAGAACATTTACAATTGCAACGGAATTGCTGTGTTGATTAGTCAAAACAGAAATTAGGTGTGACTAATTGCTAAATGGTGTTGATCCACTTTAGCTAAACATGGAACTATAGTATCATATAAAACTGTAAAAAATATTTTGTGTCATATGGTTCAAATTCTACTAAAGGTTTGTAAAAGCCAGCTCGACCTGCTAAAAAAAATTCTATGAGTTTTTTTGTCAAGCGTGCACATAAACAAAGGTGGATAGAAACTTGCCAGTACATAGAAACTCAATTATGGATAACAAATCTTAAATATGCAGTCTTTCAAACATGTAGTCGACATTTCATACTAATGGCTTATAAAATACCAGACTTACTCCCACTATCTCTCTAGATTATATATATATGTGTTTTATCAGAGAAAGACAACATACTCTATAAAGCTGCACACTCTGTCATAAATTTGCTGAACATGCAAAATATGAATCTAAATGTATATGGAGTTTAAGTGTAAAATTTTTCTGGTTACAGAGATATAATGGAGCTAATTTGGTTTTTATTATTTACATTTAAAGAAATTTTATGTTTATTTTGTAAAATATGGGGATTCCAAAGTTGGCATCTGCAATTTATTTTTTGCTTAAAGTAACACTTCCAGTATTAAGTAGCTTTCACAGAATTAGAAATGGTGAATTTTGTTTCTTAAAACTATCAATTGCATCATTGACAAAGGTTCAGTTTGAAGAATATTCATTATTGTTTTATCTTACATGCACATTTTGCTCCTTTGTCTATGGATTTGTTTGTATAAAGTATATTAATTTACATAATAGGATTAGGGAAGATGGAGGGGTTCGCTTAAAGAATCTATCTGATACTGAGATTTCGTTGATGAAAGTAATGCTTTTAAGCACTTAAATAGAATTCCATGAACATTCCCTATCATTTAGGACAGACACTGAGTTTGAAAGAGTGTTAAAAGCTTGTGACACTATTTGCTTGGTTAGGTAGAAAAATGACGGACATAAAAATGATGATAGATTGGAAAAGGACCAGATGATAATAAAATCACTGAGAACCTGAGATAATAGTATAAAATATGTAGATGTTCCTTTCATTATTTTTCAAGTTTAATTAATATATTGACACTCATGGTCCACATCAGAAAATCATTGTGGTCTGAGAACGGTTCTTCAGTTGTAGTGTAAATGAAAAGCATTCTCAGAATGGTTATCCGTGGAATTCTTCTTGAGAAAGTGAAATTAACCCTTGTAGTCACTGTGATGTAATCTAAGACATCTAAATGTAATTATTTCACTGAATAAGGACAAACTTCCAAATGGAAAAGATGAAGTTCGCTTGTGAGGCATGCGCAGTGAAGCGTTACCGTTTACACATTACACCAATTTATTGATTCCATTTTGAGAACTGTTCCAATACCACCTCACTGAGGTGGGCCAGAATTGAAATGGTTCTCAGAATGCTCGAATTATCCGTTAAATAAATAACATAATATGTATAACATAACAAAACCTGAATAACTTAACATAATATGTATAACATAACATGACCTGAATAACTTAATATAATATATATATAACATAACATAAAATAAGAACGTAAGAATAGTATATTTTCTGAAGTATTTTCATTGTTCACCTCTTTTGAAGTTATTTTAGTGTATCTTTAAAACAGATTTTTATCTCAAAAATATCTCAACTAACTCTTTCTCAAATAAAGATAGAGTTACAAGATTTATGTTCAATGTTTTTTTTTTTTTACTTAATTCCTTATATTTAAAACATCTGACTTGAGATTTCATTGAATAACAGACACTGACACAAAATGCATAATTTAGCCGAAATTGTTGTACACACTGTGTTTAAAACTATTCAATTCTGCATTTCACTAGTTTTTGTTAAGATTTATATATGAACTTAACAGTTTTGTTTGAAAGGCACATAATTGAATTGAAGACATTAGGATAGATTTTTAAAATGTCACTGACTATATTTTCCTGCATGTTGCAGACCAATTACATTGTTTGTTTGTTTAAAACTTGCTGAATTCTTAAAGTATTGTTATTCAAACTCATCATAATCGTTTGCAAACTGTGAGATATTTTTTTATAAGTCACAAAATTATCCTTATTTCTTTTTAAAATCACAAAATTATATTCATGACCTTTTTATAAGGTCACAAAATCATCTTTGTGTATGTTATGAGGTCACAAAACTATACTCATGTATTTAATAAGATCACAAAATTTTAATTCATGTATTTTATAAGGTCACAAAATTATAATTCATATATGTTATAAGGTCACAAAACTATACTTATGTATTTTATAAGATCACAAAATTAGAATTCATGTATTTTATAAGGTTACAAAACTATACTTATGTATTTTATAAGGTCACAAAATTATAATTCTTGTATTTTATAAGGTCACAAAATTATAATTCATATATGTTATAAGATCACAAAACTATACTTCATGTATTTTATAAGGTCACAAAATGATAATTCATGTATGTTATAAGGTCACAAAACTATACTTATGTATTTTATAAGATCACAAAATTATAATTCATGTATTTTATAAGGCCACAAAATTATACTTACGTATTTTATAAGGTCACAAAATTATAATTCATGTATGTTATAAGGTCACAAAATTATATTTATGTATTTAATAAGATCACAAAATTTTAATTCATGTATTTTATAAGGTCACAAAATTATAATTCATATATGTTATAAGGTCACAAAACTATACTTATGTATTTTATAAGATCACAAAATTATAATTCATGTATTTTATAAGGTTACAAAACTATACTTATGTATTTTATAAGGTCACAAAATTATAATTCTTGTATTTTATAAGGTCACAAAACTATACTTATGTATTTTATAAGGTCACAAAATTATAATTCATATATGTTATAAGGTCACAAAACTATACTTATGTATTTTATAAGATCACAAAACTATAATTCATGTATTTTATAAGGTCACAAAATTATACTTATGTATTTTATAAGGTCACAAAATTATAATTCTTGTATTTTATAAGGTCACAAAATGATAATTCATGTATGTTATAAGGTCACAAAACTATACTTATGTACTTTATAAGATCACAAAACTATACTTATGTATTTTATAAGGTCACAAAATGATAATTCATGTATGTTATAAGGTCACAAAACTATACTTATGTATTTTAATAGATCACAAAATTATACTTCATGTATTTTATAAGGCCACAAAATTATACTTACATATTTTATAAGGTCACAAAATTATAATTCATGTATGTTATAAGGTCACAAAATTATATTTATGTATTTAATAAGATCACAAAATTATAAACCATGTTTGTTATAAGGTCACAAAATTATAATTCATGTATTTAATAAGGTCACAAAATTGTCCTCATGTATTTTATAAGATCACAAAATTATCCTCATGTATTTTATAAGGTCACAAAGTTATACTCATGTGTACAAAATTATACTTATGCATTTGATAAGATCACAAAATTATACTCATGTATTTTATAAGATCACAAAATTATACTCATGTATTTTATAAGATCACAAAATTATACTCATGTATTTTATAATGTCACAAGCTGAATTCAGAAGTTGATGAGTTTGAATATGAAAATATTTTTTTTCAAGGCATTTTCTAATAAGTCACTTTGACACAACCAAATGAGAACTGAATGGCTTTTGAATGTGAAAAGGTCATGAAAGTTTTGACATACCGGTAATGGTTGTATGAGGCATTGACAAATGGTAATCTATAATTGGATCTGCTATGTCTGTGGATGTATATCTTAATAATAATATATTTTTTGGTATATAGATTAGGCCAGGCCTGTTTACAATTTAGCCCTTGAACAAAACAACAAACAAACAAACAAATAAAACAATATGTGGGTGCAAAATGTAGAAATTAAAATTGGGGTGAACAAAATCTGATATCTTCCTTCTTATGATTAAAAAAAAAAATTGGCAGTTAAAATGAAAAGTAGACAGAAGATTTCATCACATGTTGATTTTCTTTCAGAATATCATTAACAAAATTGGACCTTAGTATTTAAGGCATCTTGTGTCTGGTTGTTTTTTTACAGAGATATTCTCAGGAATATTAGCGCTTACTCTATACTATATATGTATTTTTATTTTTTAGGAAGTGTTGATTTATTAGATGCTGTTAGAATAAGAAATGCTAGTGGTGTATCAAGCGAGGAAGGTTTTTGTTACGATAGATCTCGAACGTCTGGAGGTCCTCGAGATGAAACAAATCCTGATGTAGCTTATAGGATCTCAGAAGAATCAGATCTTAGTGTTCCTTTAAGAGATGCATTTGTAGGTATGTATCTGAAAACTGAGTTTTCATATTGTTTTAGTATTCATCATTGCATTCGGACATTTGTACCAGTGGGGGGACAGGGAGGCTTGAAAAATGGTTTACCCCCAATAAACATTTTTTTGCCCCTTTATATCTGCCAGAATTCACAATTCAATTTTTTTTTTAATTTCTTGAGTGAGATCCCACAGACCTGCCATATTTTGAACTCAACAGGAAAAGGCAACCTATTTTATTCCTCATTCTTCTAGGTAATTTAGGCTAATTAAATCCCCAAAATTTGACAAACATGTAACTGAATGGTGCTATAGTATGCCAACTTACAACATGTTTTACTCTATGATTTCAGATGGATTTCCTGAAGATTTTTCTATTATTGCTACAATACGTCCAGATGAAGGTGTCCGAGGAAAATTATTTTCTATTTTAAAAGATGTTACTGGTGACGAAGTATTGTCTTTCAGTACTGGCAAAAAACCTAAATTTCATTATTCTGGGTCCAATAGAAAACCAGGGCCTGGTAAATCACCTGTATTTGATGTACCCTTTAATGATGGTTTGTAAGTATGGAACTTTCTTTTTGATCATAGTTCAGGCCAGAGACGTATTGTTTTGAGACACTTAAATCAAGGTTGAAAACGCAAATTTCGTGATCCATTGTTCTGTATTCAATATGGCTCATACATGTATAAGGCCTATTGGGTGTTTATTATTATGTCATGTGCTTGGTTACACTGGAATAATGCAGCGATTTCTTCTAATCTTAAATAAATCATTTTTTCAACATATCCAGTCCCAATATATCGGTAAAGGAAATCAATTTCAAGAGTCAAGAAGTTTGTCTCTGGATCAGCTGATGCTACTATCTTTGTAGAAGTGATGATCCAAACTTGTTATCCTTGTGAAATGTATGACACTCTTTCAAACAATGTCTTTAATAAAAAGTTTCTATGAAATTTGCAACTATATGCACATAAAGCTTTAAGGGCAATTGCTTTATATAATAAGTAGGAACTAGCATGAAGTCACTAATAGCCCCATGTGACTGTGACCAATTGTGATCTTACGCCAACTTAAAATGTATGAAAACGTGAGAAAGCTTTCCATTAAAGTTACAAATTCTGCAACAGTCTCTATCAACCTATGACATATGCTATTATCTTGCATTATCAAGACATGTTTCTAATAAAATATATGGGCCAAGTGCTCTTCATTTTTATTGCGTTTATGGAAGTGTTACAACACTTGTGTAAAGACAATCTGATGCCGTGGCTATCTCAACGGTGATTATTGGTGACAATGGGACCTCACATGCGGTATCTGGCGCTTCTATCATGCTTATACCATGCTGATAGCGACCCTAGCATGCTCCATCACCATATTAGCTAAGTAAGGACGCCTTTCCAGTGTGATAGGATCTAACTCAGCTGTTAGTTCATGACAGAGAAGTTTGGGGTTGTTGTGGGATTATTTGACTAGTTGTTACTTTAGTAAGAAACAAATCACCTTGAAATGATTTCTGTGTTTTTCAGTTGGCATCGTGTAGCTATTAGTGTAAAAGGAAATTCAGTAACATTGGTTCATAATTGTATTCAGCAAGCATCTGTCAACTTAGAAAGATCGATACCTGCAAAATTTCCCAGAGATGGTATGATCTTTGTTGGTGGAAATGTTTTTTCTGAGGGAAAAAGCTTTACTGTAAGTAATAGTTTTCATGGAAACAAAAAGAAAGTATTTCTTGAATCTCTCAACACTTTCTCCAAAGAATTCATTCATCCCTCTAGCACCTAGTGCCAAAGAAAACTTACCTAGCTAGTTTTGGACTGTTGCTTTAAACATAGTTTAAAGTAAATCAGATTAAGATCCATTCAGCACTCTGGCAAAGTGAATAAGATTGGTGATTTCTTCTCGTTAAAACAATTTTTGTGTTAACATTAATTTTGAATTATAGGGTGATGTTCAAGATTTATATATAATACCTGATCCAGGAGCAGCTTTTGAACATTGTGAATATTACACTCCCGACTGTGATTACCCTTTTTCTACCTTTGGTGCTGGTGGTTATTATGAGAATGGTTATGAATCTGGCGGTGCAGGCGGAGCTGGTGGTGAGGGTGGTTTCTTTGTAAATGGAAGTAGTGGTGGTTCTTGGGGTGCTGGTGGTGCTGGAGGTGCTGGAGGAGGTTTTGGTGCACGAGGTGGAGGTGCTGAAGGAGGTGGATATGGAGAAGGAGGTGGATATGGAGAAGGAGGTTCCTATGGTGAAGGAGGTTCTTATGGCGAAGGAGGTGCCTATGGGGCTGGTGGAGCAGGAGGTGGTGGAGCTGAAGGTGCCTTTGGAGCTGGTGGTGGTGGTGGTAGTAGTTCCTATGGAGCTGGTGGTGCTGGTGGTTCTTACGGAGCTGGTGGTGCTTATGGTGGAGCAGGTGGTAGAAGGGTGAGTAGGGTGCTTTGACAAAAATTGTTTGCATTTCCATTGTTCAATTTTAAGCATATTGGTGCTGCATTAGTCATGAAGTTGTAGTCATACATGTAGTTGTCGTCACTATTATGATTAATTTTGAAATTGTAGGAACATTATGAATACAGTTCTGGAGAATTAACAGACTTTGCATATAGATTTGTAAGTTAAAACTTTACTTTTTACTATAACATGTGGTGTACACAATTTTGAAACTTCAAATGTGCTTATTTCCATGTGATATCTACTCAGTTTGTGTGGGCTTCTGGTATAACCTTTGATGGTGGTTCAAAGACAGCTCTTAAAGGTTAAACACCTAAAAAAAATTTGAGACACAATATATACTCTATTAGTTCCTGCAAACTAACAGCACAATAACAATTTTCTTTTAAATCACAAACCACGATTAGGCCTATAAGAATAATGCATTTCGTCTAGAAGCAGGGTATAGTCCAATGAATTTTGAATCTCTTAGGCAGTTATTTTAGCTGATCCATGATTTATGAATTAACAATACCCTGTTTCAGTTAGGTTTTCTGAAGTAATTGAAGGTTATCAGACTTTCATTTTCTGTTATCAGGATCAGAACTATGTGTTGCAATCATTTCAATAACTTGATGAGATTTTAAGAAGTATAAAACAACTCTCCTTTATATTTCTAATGGCAACAAGAAATTGGCCTTGATTTCTACAATGTATTGTTTTAAGAATAATGTATAAAGTGTGGGTGTAACTATATTATACCATGTTATTCTACTGACTCAATATCTACATATGGCCTTTAGAAATTAGATTAAAAACTTTAATTCCTGCATTCCAATACTATATTGTATATATAAATGTATTTTTTTGATTGTATTGTAGGGTCCCCCAGGTCCACCCGGAGGTAGAGGTCCACCTGGACCCCCTGGTCCTAAAGGAGGAGTGGTATGTTATTATTTTCTAACATTTTTTTTATTTGTTCCATTACTATGAAAGCTTATTCTCATAAGATTCAAACATATTATATTTGAATGTAGTTTTGATGGAAGTATTAAAGCATACTGTGTATGACATTTCTTTTCTATATATATTTTTCTCTATTTCATTATACTTAGCTGTACTGTTTATTGATCATATTTTAGGGTATTCCTGGAAGAGATGGTACTCATGGTGCTAATGGTTTACCTGGAGCACCTGGTCATGTCTTTGTAATTCCTGTAAGTAAATCTTGACTGAAATGGGTTTTCTCAATCCTTAAAAGTTAACTTCTCTGATATTTTATCAGCAGATCTAATGTCTAATTATTGTCTTATGTTTATTTTTGTGTAACTTTCTGACTGTTTCCTTATAATAAATTTACATTTCTTATGTGACTTTACGACCTAATCATGTTATATTGTTGTCTTTACAGTTAAATAATGACCAAAAATCTGGTGCCAGCCAAGCTCAAGCTTTCCGTAATATGCTCAGTCAACATATGGTAGGTTCATATTTACAGTTTCTCTTTACGCTCATAGTGTCCTACATGTTTTACCATGCTATCAATAATTTTATTCTGTTTTTATGGTTTCTTGAACAGTTTTGAAAACAGGTTCTGACTTCAAAAGGACCTGAAACTGAATTAAGGGTATCTACCATTTTTATGGTTATTAAAATATTGTGTAATTTCAGCTTGCTATGAGAGGAGCACCAGGTGCTATGGGTATGACTGGTTTACCTGGTAGAGGTGGAGCTGCTGGTATTGATGGTGAAAAGGGTGAAAGTGGTAATCCTGGTGAACAGGTAAAGACATAAAAAGATTATAACTAAAAAAAATCATGGACCATTCCTTTATGAGGGGGTTTTCATGACATTGTCACTTAATACCTATAGGCTTGTAGGTTGTAGGTAATGTTTTTGCTGCTTTGGTAAGGTCGTAAATTCTGTAGCAAATAGAGGATATCTTTGAGTTTTCACTGATTGGAATACCATTGAATGCTGAAATTATCATTGTCTATTATGTGCATTGGAAACTCTTGCCAAAATTGTAGATGTTATCAAATGACTAACAGTAACATCTATATATTTTATTTTATAGGGTATCATTGGTCCAATTGGTATGCCTGGTATGCCAGGACCTGCTGGAAAGAGGGTAAGTAGACATACAAATGATCTATTATGCCTGAAAAGTAAAATCACTAGGTGACTCCTGTTTCACAATACATCTTTATATCTGGATTATCTTTAACATATTGATTTTAACATTGAAGATAAACTTTGATACAGACTTTTTGTGAAACAAGATCTTCTATACGATGTATCTTACCTAACTCAACAATAGTGGTGACCAGATCCTATATTTACCAAAGACACTGATATTTGTTTATGTAATATGATGTTTATATAATGTTTATATATAATGTTTATATGATATGATGTTTTAATAATGTTTATATGATATGATGTTTTAATATTGTTTATATATAATGTTTATATGATATGATGTTTTAATATTGTTTATATATAATGTTTATATAATATGATGTTTATATAATGTTTATATATAATGTTTATATGATATGATGTTTTAATATTGTTTATATATATTGTTTATATGATATGATGTTTTAATATTGTTTATATATAATGTTTATATGATATGATGTTTTAATATTGTTTATATATATTGTTTATATGATATGATGTTTATATGATATGATGTTTATATGATATGATATTTTAATAATGTTTATATATAATGTTTATAGGGTAGATCTGGTATGGATGGTGACAGAGGTCCAGTTGGTGAACCTGGTAGTAAGGTATTACACTTTTCTTATTTTACGACATTAATAGCTTCCAAAAGGTCATTCAGATAACAGTTCATTCAAGTCTGTTTTCCCTGTGTCAATTACTAATGTCCACTAAGGCTGCTGAACAAAATAATAAATTTGTTTTTTTTGTAGGGTTTACCTGGTTTCCCTGGTATGCCTGGTTTACCTGGAGAGAAGGGTCATAGAGTAAGTACATTTTTTTTTATCTTCAATGATTTTGGACACAAATCAGCTTAAAAGTTATAGTGGATTTACAAAATAATAATGAAATAAAGGGCACAACTCTCTGGGATTTAATATGAAAGGGATTTTATCAGATATAAAATCTGGCCAGAATAATGAGAAGAAGTTACTCAGGTAAACATGTTATAGGATTTCCGGAAGACCTGTTGAATGTAGTGGAATTATTTGTTTATTCTAAAAATATTTTTCATCTTTTCAGGGCCACCCTGGACAACCTGGTCCATCAGGACCTCCTGGACATGATGGTGAACAGGTAAATATTATAATATTATTTTTTATGAAGATTGACCATGTCATGCATGAGAATTATTGTCATGAAAATTGAATATAAATATATGATATTAAAACAGTTGAAAATTGAAAAAGATTTACAAAATGCCACTGGCAAACTTTCCATCTTTTCACACTATCGGTATTGTCCATAGTCTGATTGAATGTTTCTCTTATCTTTATCAGGGTGATCCTGGAGAGCAAGGACCTATGGGTGCCCCTGGTGAGATGGGCTTGAGAGGTTTTATGGGACCAAGAGGTCGAGTTGGTGCTGTTGGACCACCTGTAAGTATTGGTGACTTGCAACATTTGATGGTATGATGTGAAATCAGATTTAACATGAGTATGGTAAAAGGTTGTGTCAGTATCATGACACCAGTCCAATGTGTGGTGTGGACATCTTTAAAGCCTATGCAGGATACTTTCTTTTAGTATTTGGACCAAGTATCAGTATCCAAATGAGATACCTTCAGACATGGGTTTCATACAAAAGTTTATACAATACACTTGTGATTTGTGATTTCCTCTCTATTATAGGGAATGCCTGGTTCTGAGGGATCAGTTGGACCTAAAGGTAATCAAGGTAATGTTGGAGCACCTGGTGCCCCTGGACAAGCAGGAAACGCTGGACCACCTGTAAGTATATATAACTATTTTTGTTTTGGTTAATGACCACATATTTAAATATACTGGACAGAATATATGACATTGACCAAAAAGATATGTCATGGAGCCTAATCCAATTGAAGAAAGACACACTATTTACATTATAAATTCTAATAAAGAGGAGACATGGCACATCTCTATAAAAAATCATTGATCAAAGATAAGTCGTTAAACTTAATCCATTGAACAGTAGCAATGAATCTTATCATTTTGGATAGACGACACCCAACTGAAATAAATATAGTATGACTACTTCAGGTAATGATTGCACTTGAGAGAAATTGTTTACTCTTCTTGATTTATTTTAGGGACCATCTGGTGGAGTAGGACCTTTAGGACCACCTGGTATTCCTGGAGCTCAAGGTAAACCTGGATTACCTGGAATGCCTGGACCAGTTGGACCCATTGTAAGTTTTTTTTTAAATAAAATTTTGGTAGTAAATCATCACAGATTGTGAGACTGTATCAGACAAATAACAAAACATGTTGGGGCCAGCCTACCCTTCCATTGTCTAAATAACAAGACTAGAGTTATTCAGATCTTGTTTTAATGACTGAATGAGTTGTTCTCACTTTTAATCAGAAAAGGATTTTTACTGAATGTTGATTCTGAAAAGATCTTGATTTAAACAGTGAACTCTATGTTCTTAAATCATTTATTGAAATAATTGATGACTTGTTTATCTGAATTCTACAGGGTATGTCTGGTAATCCTGGAGAAGCTGGTGCCAAGGGAGACACAGTAAGTAATGTATTCTGGTGGATAATTGGGGATAAAATTTCAAATATGAGATATTAATCTGGTTTTGTCTAAGGAGTCCCTAAATTCATTGATTGATGGAGCTGACTTAAAGTTGTTTAAGCGTTAGAATAATTTAATTCCTATAAATGGAAGATTAATAGTAAAACATGAGAAGTTAATCTATATTTTCAATTGTTATCTAGGGACCTAGAGGTATAAATGGTATTGTTGGCTATCCTGGATCTAGAGGTGTCAAGGTGAGTTAGCTTTTAAATTTCATCATAAATACATAAATTGTTGTGGGAGGAGATACGTAACTTGGAAATCAGCAGTAACAATGAAGTGTACCAATTAGTCTTAATCATTTAAAACACATTTCTGCGTCTATGGATACGCTCAACTACCAAACCAACAATACCAAAACATTCAACTGATTCAAATCCAACTTTTGATTACTTTCAATAACTACCTGGTCTGTTATAAACCAGCTTCTGTTTGAAGTGGATGTAAACTTGTCATCTACCAACCACAATATTGATATGAAATCAGTATTCGATTTAATATTGAAAGATTTGTATGTGATATTTGATATTCTGTATTGCAGGGTGATTCTGGACCTCGAGGACCATTAGGTGATAAAGGTGGCAAGGTGAGTTGAACAACATTACTTTCGTAAATGCTTGGTATTCATTTGTTTCCTTACTGCCTATACTGCCTTTGTTGTTGACTTGATCATGACTATGTACATTTCTAAATCATTGTGAACAATAAAACTCAGAAGTAGTATACCATAAAATAGTGTTCTGTTATTTGATAAATGATACAATTATAATGATACTATTTATGTGAAAAACAGAAGTCATTATTCACTCAGATTTGTCGGTATGATTTGTAGCTACGGTATATTTTCACTTTTTAGGGTAATCCTGGATTAGATGGTGATCGTGGTGATGTTGGATCTAAAGGTGATAAGGGTCCTAAAGGTGTCAGAGGTTTACCTGGTATTGAAGGTATTGAAGGAGCTAAGGTAAGGAATAGACAAACTACTGTGTCATCAATAGAAGCTAATGTATTCATAGCTGGCCGGATTAGATTGTAACATTTCGATAAAGTAATGCCACAAAAGCATAGACACAGGAATGTTAGTGTAACTGGGATAGTTATATGATTGCTTGTGTCAATGAAGTATTTAAAGGGTAAATAAGTGAGCCAGATTTAAAGGGCAATCCACATTTTGTCAATGTTACTTTAATGGGAAGATGGGGAATGTGCCCCTTTATATTAGTTGATATACCATTTAGATAGACAATGATATATATGTCTAATATTTATTGTTTTTATAGGGAGATTATGGACCTCCTGGTGAAGTTGGTTTACCTGGAGCTCCTGGTGAAAAGGTAAGACAAGATTGTGACTAATGGATTGTGGTTTGGATTGGTACAAGTTGCCTTTCTCTTTAAGATTTGAGATAGTATATAATTTTAACCTAATGTTTCAAATGTTTATGGGTCAGTTGAAATGAAAATGTGAAAATTCCGATGAGAAAGCTTTGGCAAACTGTCTAATAGAAAAGATTCATTTTTGAATGCAGTCTAAAAGACCTTGCTAAGATTCTTTACAATGATTAACTTTTATTGATAAAGAAGTTGATGGTCAATTGTTTATGCAAAATTTTGTTTTATTGTAGGGTCGTATTGGTATACCTGGTTTCCCTGGCTATCCTGGGCCTGTTGGTGAAAAGGTAATCATTAGTCTTTAAAATCATCTTTAAGTTCCCAGTTAAAGCTTTCAAAGTTTATTAAATACCATATCCATAGAAAGATATTCACACACATTGTGGTAATTGCATTTGTAGTACAAATATACTATGTTATGTACACCTATGCTAAGCTCCATGAGCAATATGGACATGTGCAGTTTGCCCTTTATATATCATTGTGGTAGCCTTTATCTGTCCACAACTTGTATTTGTAATAGGAATATTGGTGTTATTAATTCAATATGCTAAATATTTCTAGGGTGAAAGAGGAAGAAATGGCAGACGTGGTAGAAGAGGTGCCCGTGGTAAATCAGTAAGTATCAGCAATGACATCAGAATGATAACAGATGTTTTAAACTTTTAATGAATGAATATCAAATATGCCCAGTACACATCTGTAGGCTACAGTGCATTGTCAAATGTCATGCTATGCTATGACTTGTGCAGTTTATACATTTGTAATACTTATTATTACTGTGCTGCTAGTCTACTATCCTGGTGAAACTGCATGTATATTTGAAGTTGAATGTTTATTTTATTAATCTTTTTGATTTATGAATAAACTGTATTTTATCTTCCAGGGTTTAGTTGGTCCCATGGGTGAACGAGGTGAACTTGGACCTAGAGTAAGTATTTTTTGTCAAAGGAACACAGCTTATGTTTTAAAGTGCTGATTTGGGTTTTGTTTTCACTACCATTACTCTAAAGTATTCTTGGAGCGGTGGTTTGTTTACTCCAATGTCGTCTGCACAGCAATACAATATATTTCTGTTTAAGTCTGGAACAACCAAAGTTGAAAATCTGACATCCTATTGTCAAATAGAAGAAATAATTTTTTTTTACAAATATTTCAAAAGACTTGAACTCATGATGACATTTTTTAACAGGGCCAGAGAGGTGACAGAGGTAAACAAGGTATACCTGGTCCCCCTGGTGTTAAGGGTGATATTGGTAATCCTGGTCCACCTGGATTTGCTGGTGAAGCTGGTATTCAAGGTCCTCCTGGACCACAAGGTGTTTCTGGGCCTGTTGGTGCTGCTGTAAGTAACCTATTAATCACTATTCCATTGGGATCCTTATCTTCCAAACTTGAAAAGTTTTATGAGACTAATTTACTGTTAAATGAGACTGATTGGTATGCAGAATACATTTGTGTGTCAGAACTAATAAAATACCCCCAAACCCCATAAATTGTTGTTTTGAATATAAACTTGTGTATGAAACATGTTGCTTTTTACTCAGTACATTCAAAATGGAAGCCATTTGACAGATTTGATGAGGCTTTTCTGTATAACTAAAATAAATATTTATGTCTATATTATAGGGTTTACCTGGTAAAGATGGACTCCCTGGTAACCCTGGAGATAGAGGAGAGGCTGTAAGTATTTCTTATAAATCCATTTGAAACCATGCGGCATCTTGCATCTCTTCTGTAAGATTCAGAAATATTGGAATATATACCCAAACTGAAACCAACTATCTCAATTGAGGATTTTATTCCAAAATGTGTATAAAGCATTTATCAATTGAAAATAAGGAATAAAAGAATAGATTTTGTAGTCCTGTCTTTTATTATTACTTAAATGATGAAATGTTATTATATTTTAGGGTATACCTGGTAACCCTGGCCCTGGTGGACCTGTTGGTGTAATGGGACCCCCAGTAAGTATTACTATCTTACCTTGAATTTTGATAAATATGTTACATCAAAAAAGAAAAGTCTAATTACTCCTTTATTATATTTGTTATGGGTCTAAGGTTAAATCCTAGCATATGTAAAGAAAGTAGCTTAGGATTTTTCAATTTGGATTCTCGCTGTCAGTTTTCCAGACCATATAGGCTAACAAAGCACCTTGCATCTGGTCTGGCAAAATTGCCCTCAATGAATACTTAGTTCATTAAGGATCAAATAAGTAGTTTGTAGAATTATTGTACCAATAAAGATGATTGTTTTGATTGTAGGGACCATCTGGTGAACCTGGTCCATCTGGTGATAGAGGAGCACCTGGAATGCCTGTAAGTATATTCTTGATACATAAATTTCTGTTCTCTTAAAAAAAGGACCACTAGAGCATAATATTCACAGTTCTTTTGTATATTATCATCAAGTCGTCTCTGGTAAGGGTATGCTAATAACACGTAAGGGTCCATGGGCAATGTTCTTAACATGACAAGGACAGATTACAACAGTTGTTACATATGTATCTTGGTTAAATTTTAGGGTATTCCTGGTGAAATGGGTCTTCCTGGTACAGAAGGTAAACAAGGAGAAACTGTAAGTATTACTTCATTAAAATTTGATTTCATATCTTGTTTTCTAAGCTTACAATTTGGAGAGAGGTAATATCGGTTTAGCCTGTTCTCAAATACTTTTCATATTGTATGATTGAATATTTATATTTCATGTTCCTTGGTACTTTACCTGTTGTGTACAATACTGATATCTTGTTTATGTCATAAATTGGAATATAATTGAAATGATGTCTTTTTAGAATTTTATTTTAAATATTAGTCAAGAATTCCAATTTCAGTACATATACATTATGATGTATGTCTTATATATTTAGGGTCCTGCTGGTCCGATGGGTGTACCTGGTCCACCTGGAGGTAGAGGTGGTATTGGTAATCCTGGTGATCGTGGTTATCCTGGTCCACCTGTAAGTGTTATTATATTACTATCAATCCGGTCTTAACATCATTATTCACTATCAATATATTTATATTTCGCTAAGTTTCTATGGATAGTTTGCTGAAAATGATAGAAAATGCTAGCTGTTAGTGTTGGTATCAGTAAAATCATATGTGTCCATTGATGGAATTGCTCAGAAACTTATAAGTGAAGTCAAATGATCTTTCAGAATGTAATTTTTTGGGGTTTTTTAGGGTAAAGATGGTGAAAGAGGTGATGCTGGAGGACCTGGACCTACTGGTCCACCTGTAAGTTATATTTTTATTATACAGTTACTTGATGACCAGCTTGTAATTATTGACATCTTTTCATAGAAATAATCCAACTTGGATGTTCCTTACTTCCTTAATTGGGTAGGTTTTTGAAGAAAACAGTAAAGTTCATGTCCATCAGTTTTTTTTTTGTGAAGTTTGATTACATGAGTCAGTTTTATAGATTTTTATACATAATCATGATAAAAACTTGATAAAGAGAGTTTGGAATCTCAGATGTATAATAATTTAACAGCCCCGATACAGTGAATTAATGTTTTGACTATGTCTATTATAGGGAGAGAAGGGATCTCAAGGTGAACCTGGAATAGCTGGTCCTCCTGGTATAATTGTAAGTAACTTACTCCTTTATACTTCTTCACCATGCTATATTAATCAACACATAGTCTCCTTTTTAAAAACGCCATTGTATTATGTATAGCTGTTCTATACTTTTGTTTCTCTGTATTATTAGAGACTATGGACTCCTGCTTTTTCCATTCCATGAAAATTTATTCATATCAGGAGTGCCCTTGAAACTACAGAGATCTTGTATCTCAAATCCACTTTGTTAATCATTCTAATTTGTAAGAAAACCATGATAATTGTGTATCTGTTCTATTTTTAGGGAGGTCCTGGATTACCTGGTCCACAAGGTAAAAGAGGAGCTAAAGGAGATTCTGGTAGAGAAGGTGTTGCTGGAGAACCTGGTCCACCAGGACCACAAGGTCCAAGAGTAAGATGATTGATTATCAGACTTTTTACAAGATATATATATATAGTTGTTTTTACTTAAATGATATTATAATAATTATTGGATAATTTATAAGAAAACTATAAACGTATTATCTGCAAAAAATATAATTATTTCTATGTTTTATCGTAAGAAAAATGGGCATATGTGTATTGTTGTGTGAAACATTTTGAATTATTATTGTAGGGTTATCGAGGTACACGTGGTCCAACTGGTTCACCTGGTTTAGATGGTGATAAGGTCAGTATGTTTAGATGTTAATTTAGCAAGTATCTTCTTTTCAAATTCTTTAAGTGCTCCTCAACCTTGATCAAAGTTTTCCATTAATCAAGAAATCTTAATTGATTCAGCCTAAGAAATTCTTGGGGTAACTCTTATTTAAGAGATGAATAAGTGGACAATGAACTGCAGCATTAACTTAAGGTTTCATATCTCCCTTTGTAGATGTATATGAAGTTTGTGTGTTATAAGAAACTATATTAAAATTGTATCTGTATATGTATATTTTAGGGAGATGCTGGTCCACCAGGAGAAAGAGGTTTCAAGGGAGATCATGGAGCTATGGTAAGGTTTTTCAGATTGTCCTTTAATTAAACTTGGTTTCCAATATGATATTAAAATAAAACTCATATCAAACAACACTGTTGACTAATAGTTTATTTCAAAATTCTTAAAAAGATATACATGTAGTTCCACATTTTCTTTGGAAGGAGATAAAGCCCTATAACAGATTTTCAAACACGACTTAAAATTTTTTTTTTTGCACTCAATATAACGAAAAAATGCCATGACTGTGAGGTGACAACTATTTTCTATGAATTAAATTCTGTTGTAGACTATGTAACAAAAGATAATAGGAAACTGTCTAAATTCATTTGATTTTTATTTGTAGGGTCCACCTGGATCACAAGGTTCTCAAGGTTTACAAGGTCCACCAGGAGCTATGGTAAGTACTGGTATATTGTGTACTTTCTAACAAAACTATAGGCTGATTGATAAAGTTTTAAGGAAATCAAGATGCAGACAATTAATCTTTCACTTTTGGAAAACTGTTCAATTTCATTATTAACTAATTTGTTAAATTATTTGATCTTTTGATAAATACATCTTTCATGTAAAGGCATTGGAAATTATAGTATGTAAATAATTGTTCGTTTCATATAGTAAATGATTTTTATTTTTAGGGACCACCCGGCTCTCCAGGACCTAGAGGTGTGCAAGGAGTACCCGGATCAAAGGTAAGCCTCATTTTCTTCTTATTAGGATAGATACATACCATTGCATATTCTAAACAATTAAGATATAACTGTTATGTTCCTTCTGTATGTTGTTTTTTTTAACGATTGCAATTCTTCCATGGAAAGCTGCTACTCAATTACTTGTTGACAGATCCATGCTAATGGACTTTCCTCATTGATTATGGATAACATGTAGTTTTTTCTATTGATCCTATATATTTTGTTGTATTATTTCAGGGTTCAGAAGGTCCTCGTGGCCTTCCTGGACCTACTGGTTTACCTGGTCTACAAGGTATGCCAGGACCACCAGGTCCTAAAGGTGAACATGGTGACCCAGGAAGAAAAGGACCACAAGGTGCAACTGGTCCAACTGGTAACCCTGGCCCTGCTGGAAGTCCTGTAAGTATTTCTGTATAATAACAGTTCTAATTTTATTTAGCAATGTTATAACAGGTTAAGATTGTTCAGTCCTCATTGACTATAAATGTTACAGCCATTTGTTAGTTACATGGGGTCATTTCTTGTATGAAAATAAGTTGAACATCAGACATAACCAATCTGTTGATAACATAGAATGGATGGTCCTCAGTTGGTGAATTATGGTTTTTATTCACACATATCACTTGTGTATTTGAAAAAATGTTTTACTGGTGTTATTTTAGGGTAGTCAAGGTGTACCTGGTACAACAGGACCAGAAGGACCTATGGGTGGAAAGGGTGATAGAGGTGATCCTGGACCACCTGGTATTCCTGGTACTGATGGAGAACAGGTTAGTTATTCTTTTTCTTGTTCAACATTTTTGACAGAAATTCATCATCAATTTTATAAGCTTATAGTTTCTAACATAATCTTTAATATCAGCCATAGTGGGATACTCTTGTTATAATTTAATGAAGAACATTGTTTCAAGTTTTATAAACTGACAATATTCATATCTTTTTTTAATTTAGGGAACTCCTGGAGGTCCTGGACCTAAAGGTGATGATGGTCGACAAGGTAAACAAGGTGAACCAGGACCTAGAGGTCCTCGTGGAGGTGAAGGTGATAAAGGTCATGCTGTAAGTTGATTTCAAATTTCCAAACTTTTCCACCTCTTGAGAAATATATTTGCCTTGGCGTATAAAAACTATTAAGATAACATCTTACCATCAAAAAACTGACAAAATATTGACCAATAGTTTTCTTGTCCAAACAAAGATTATTGCATCCTTAATTTATCATATTAAAGCAATGTCCTAAAGAAAGTAATTGATTTATCATCATTAACCATTAGTATAATGACAGGTCCCTGTGAAAATTGATACATCTATTTCAGGGTGCTATGGGACCACCTGGACCCGCTGGAGAACCAGGAGAGACTGGACTTAAGGTAAGTTTTTGTGGATAAAGAAAGATACTACCACCTATTATTCCTGTTTTGATTGTCATTTATCTTCTTATGAAAGTCATTTCTTATTTGTCTCTGAAACATGTATATACATGTGTCTAAAACTGAAATTTTGCAGTCTGACCTAGAATTGTGTTGTCTTTGTCTCTCCTTCTTATATGGATGTAAGTTTGTGATGTTCATTAGCATCAGGCAGTAGTTTTTGCCTAAGCAGTTTTAATAGATGAATAATCATTATTTTTTGTCTGCATAAACCTTATTACACTCCAATAGCCTTTTTTTCATAAGCTTTAAAATATTAAGAACAATATATCTAACTTTTCATTTATTTTATTTTATTTTTGTAGGGAGAACCTGGTATTCCTGGTGAAGATGGTGATACTGGTTTATTAGGTCCAATGGTAAGTTTTTATTTCAATGCTGAATAGATGAAGTAGTACATACATTTATCATCATAATTTTAGTCTGAGGTTGCAAGTGGAAGGACATGGCTAGAAAATATTAATTTTGAGTTCACCATTCACTGTGAGAACTTATGTTGGAAAAAAGAAATGATAATGTTGATGATATGTATCAATTTGTCATTCCTTGTTATCTTTTAGGGTCCACCTGGAGCTCCTGGTGAGCCTGGTCTACCTGGACCTGCTGGCAAACAAGGTGAAATGGGTACCCCTGGTTTACAAGGCTCTGTTGGTGAACCTGGATCTAAAGGTGACCGTGGTCTACCAGGACCAATGGGACAACGTGGTGCTCCTGGACCAGTTGTAAGTATCATCATCTCAAGCTACTTGTAAGCTTAACCCTTTTTAACCTTAATGCAATGGATTTGAACTGATTCACATGAACCAAATGGAGCAACTGCAGATTAGTAACTTTGCACAATACATATTCTCAAACAATAACATCCAAGGAAACAGAAAAAGATTGTGGATTGTATTATTTATTGTGGAAACTTCATGATTATAATTGATATTGCAGGGTCCTGTAGGAGAACCTGGACCAATTGGACCTGCTGGTCAACCTGGACCTGTTGTAAGTATCTTTTTAGTAGAAAGTTATATTGATATCTTAATTAATGGTCTGCTGCAGTCTAAATATATTTTAAAAATCCCATTTCATTCATTTTTTATTTCCTTTGGTGCTAAGGATATTTTAACTCAGTCAGATGTTGATTATATATGGTTAATTTATCAGTAATAACTATCAGTAATCTATTTATAGCATGATTTATTGCCTACATCTTGTGTAGTATCAACTATGTACATATATATTTTAGGGAGAACCTGGAAGCCCTGGTGCTGGTGGTATACCTGGTGAACAAGGAACTGAGGTAAATTTATATCCTGCATCTTTCTTTTGTTTATTTGTAACCAAAGACATGTATAAATTCTCTCTATATGAATGCCATAGTATAATGTAGGTAATTCAGGTGTAGGTGATCAATGTATGTGGGCTGACACAGGATTACGAAGATATTTGAGGTATAAGCTGGAAGGAATTGATATCTGTGTGAAATATTGTATTTTTTTTTATCCATTTTCATTTCAATGCTTGATTTTAGCAACAAAATCTATGATTCATATAAATGAATTGTATATTTTAGGGACCTGAAGGAGCAATTGGACCAAAGGGTCAACAAGGCTGGAAAGGTGTCAAGGTAAGCTAATAATTGCTTGAATAATATAACATAACTGTGAAATATGAGATAAGAACCACCTTGATTTCTACAGGATGTTTTGGATGACAAATATCCACCTGAATATTCCTTGTTTCCATATGGTGGTAATATATGTATTTTGTATCTTTAGATTCTATACTGTATTTGAATTAATCAGTTTATATTTATTATTTCAGGGACATCGTGGTGAAATGGGAGAGATGGGACCGGTTGGTAATGCTGGACCTAAAGGAGAAAGAGGACCAAAAGGACCTGAAGGACCTAAAGGTGTTAAGGGAGATATGGTAAGTTCTTTTTAAATAGTAGACAATGTTTTCAGTATATGGGAATCTTTTCATCATTATGTAACTGAATTTTCTTTTCAGCATTATGGAAAATATTGTCTTTTAAGAAACCTAAGAACTATATTTCTTCTTCATTGTATTGATGAAGTAAATCGATTCCAATATTTTAGACACACTGTATTATCCTTGCTAGATCTTGATTAGCTTTCTGTCCTTTTTAGATGTACAAGATGATACAATTTTTTGTACTTTTTTGCAGGGTAAACGAGGTCCTCAAGGTCCACAAGGTATTGATGGTTCACCTGGTCCTACTGTAAGTTACAACTGATTCTCATTTCTCAAGTATAGCTGATTGGTTATCATTAGGAGAAATTCATAAAACTGCTTTGTATGAAGAAATTGTCTTTTATATATCATATTCATAGTAAATTGACTTAATCTTTATAATAAATTATTTATTTTTACTGATTTTCAGGGTCCAGTTGGTTCACCTGGTCCTAAAGGAGAACCTGTAAGTAATTTAAATATTATTGATAGAGTTCTGATACTCAGTTTATATTTCATAACATAGGGAGTTAATTTACAGTTTATTACTAAGTTACAGACAATTGGACCATCATGGTTTTTCTTTTTATTCATCATTAGCTCTGTGGAATCTACAAAACAGTTTCAGAATTCCAAAGCTGACTTGAAGATTGGCATCAGGGGTTATGAAAGGATGAACATGCCCTGCCTTCCAGTTACACACTGATATATAGGAGCTCCAAGTCAAAAACATTTTTTTGGAATAGGACAAGGGCATAAGGCTTGAAGAATTGCTTTGGGATATTTATTGAGAATAACAAGGAGTGAGATGCATGAAGTTGTTATCACCATGGAATTTCAACATCTGTAGAATGCAGGTACATTGAAGAAGAAAGCATGATATTGAAACCCTATATCCAAAAGTAGAAAACAAATGTTTCATAATGCCAAAATACTTGTAAACATATCCTAATATATTTCAGGGTCAAGATGGACCTAAAGGAGAAATGGGACCACCTGTAAGTATTCAATCAAAAATTTTCACTGAATGATTCATTAACTTTTATTGATCTGTCACTCCATCTAAATTCACTTCTATTTTCTCCAAATTCCTGTATATGGATAATCTTGTCAACTATTTCAGGGTTCTGCTGGAGAACCTGGTCCACCTGGTGAGACTACAGTTGTACCTGGTGATTTCTCTGCCGCTAATACTAAGGCATCAACTTCCAGACGAAGAAGACGAAGACGACGACGAAGATCAGCTGTTTTAGATTTAGATTTACCAAGTGATATGAGACTAGCTGTCCAATCTCTTATGTCTCAAAGTGAAGATAAATCTAAGAAAGTGGAGGCTAAGAAAGTCATGAAGGAAGTTGTTCGAGTTGTTGTTAAACATGTTGAAGAAATGGAGGAATCTATCCAGAAATTACGTTATCCACCAGGAACCAGAGAATATCCTGCTTCATCATGCCGAGAAATTCATGATGGTTATCCTCATTATAAAAATGGTTAGAAAATAACTGAAATGAGTTTTACATTCAACCTTTGCAGGGTTCTGTTCCTTAGTGAGCTAATGAAGGTAGTCTATGCATTGAGTTGGGCACTGATGGAAATGATGTTGGGATAGGGCATTAGTCAATGGATTACTGATTAAATAGTATCTTAGAAGTACACAGAAAGCATGGGGTACCGGTTTGTCCCATTTGAATGACTAGACGCTTTTTCCATGTCAGCTCCTTATGTCATAGAACCTGGTACACTTGTTCTTCAGACAAATTCACTTGGTGTCTCTACTGAAGATTGATGAGAGTTTTTAAGGCTATAATGGAAAGCGCTGCAGTTTTCTGAACACTTCTAAAACTTTTATTTCAGGTTGGTATTGGATAGATGCTAATCAAGGATCCCATATGGATGCTATTAAAGTATGGTGTAATTTAACAGGATCTCAAGAAACATGTATTTATCCTAACCAAGATTATAGAATGGTAAGAGTCCTTTACATTTTACTACCACACTATGTTTGGAATCCAGAAGACCACAAAGATTTATAAAACTTGGGTCACAATTGAAGCATAGCCCTTCATGGTTCAATTCCTAGCATGACATTTCATACCAACTAAATGCCTATTTATTTGATTTATGTGTTATTGACAGATAAAAGAACAACATTGGGATAAAGTTGGCAATAAATTTAAATGGTTTAGTGATCTGAAAGGTGGATTTAAAGTGAGTATTTATCCCTATTTTGTGGCCAGTTAATATATCTTGACCATTACCCTTCGCTGGTTCTCCAAAGTTCTTTTAATTGTTATTTTTTCAACATACTTCTTTGACACCTATATAAATCTAAGTAAATTCCCATGTAAAAGATAGAAAAGAGGTTCTTTGTGATCTTGTTAACCAACTTGTCCTTGATTTTTCCTGGTTATCATTTATAACTAGGTTGACATAATACAAGGGAACAATGATTATTTCAGGGTATCACAAAACAACTCTCTACCATCATTGGTTCAACATCTGGATTCCATTGCTTTTACTGACAGTTTTGTTGTACTATAGTTATAGGCAAAATGTATAAGTCTACCAGGAACTGTATGTTTGGTACAAGTTTCATTGAAATTTAACCATTGCTTCCAATTTTTATTTCAGATAAAATATGTTGAAAGACATTTACTGAAATTTTTACGATTAGAAAGTGTAGAAGTTTATCAGAAATTTAAATTCTTTTGTTCGGGTTCAGTGGCTTGGTTTGATCAGGTTGCTAAAGGTCATGATCATGCTCTTGTTTTACGTGGTGAAAATGATCATCAATTTAAAACTAAAGATTTTAAAATTAAACAGATTATTTATGATGGTTGTAGGGTAAGTTAAAAACATTTTCTTTAAAATATTAAAAATAAGTATCAGGAACTCTGTCATTGGAGTTAAGAGAGTGCTTCCTTATTGCCTCACAGTCTTCTTATCTCTGAACTATTGCAAGTCAAGTCTTTTGACCCACATTTGAATGAATCAGTTTTTAAATGTTTCCTGTTTCCCTTACTAGGTCCTTTAAAAACAAATGTATTATTTGCATAATATGACCTTCAAAATAACTATATTTTGATTTGTACCTGATAGAAATTTATTATTTTTATATATCTAACAATATCTATGTGTGTTTCATTGCAGGATCGAAGACAAAATGGCTACACAGAATTCTACATTAAATCTAGGAATTTATACAGGCTTCCAATTGTTGATTTCTTACCTAAAGACTATGGAAATCCTTGGCAAATGTTTGGATTTGAAGTTGGGCCTGTTTGCTTTCGTTAATAATCATTAACTTTTAGTTTTTTATACATATTTTTACATAAATCAGGCTTGAAAGCCAGTATTGTGATAAGATCTCGATAAAAAAAAATCATGTTTTCCGTCCATTTACAAAAAAGATCCTACAAAATATTCTAGATGCATTTTTGTATATGATGATATTTTTAGTCTCCTTTACGATTATTTGAAATTACAAGTTTTTCTCTCATTTTTTCATAATTTAGCAAGAGAATTTATTTTATAGACATTTTATACTCATAAAACATAGTTAACTTTGAAATCAAAGAATTTCATTATTTTAAGTGTTAAAGCGGTTCCAAATAGGGCAGAGATTTTTGTACAAAATTTAAATTTCTTTATAATTTGTACAGAGGGATCTTCCACCACTTTCACCTAAAACAATGAAATTCTTCTACAGAAATTTTATTTTTGGAAATTTTGGACTAAAGTGACAATTGAAAACATTAAAATTAATAATAAATCATATTACAATGATGTTGAAAAATTTGTATTGTACAACTGTAAATGTTTTATCATCAATAAAGTTTTCCAACTGTAAATCATTTACTTGATCAAAAAAAACTTCATTGCAGCATTGGCCCATTGTTACAAAATATATTCTAATGTGCAGATTGGCATACTTAATATAGCAGATTTTATCATGTGCAACTGGCTGAGGGCACAATTTCTCAAAAACTTAAAGGGACAGGTAGGCCATTTATTTTGACCAAACATACATTAGTCCGACATAGCTCACCATCGAAATTTGAACCTTCAAATCCATGTGTTCCAGAATTATCTGTGTTTGAATGTTAAAATGATGACTCATCAATTTAAGATACTCTGTGATATATAGAAAAGACATATAGAAATAATTAGTAAAATTCCTAGTTTGATGTATTTTTAAAGGAATTATGTGATTTTCATACATTTCTAGTACTTTTGGAGACTATTTACATCTATTCAAGACTAAAATCAATCCCCCAAAATGGCGCACGTCCTTTATCAATAAAATTTCAACATATACAGAAATCTGATTGGATTAAATTTTAAGCTACTCTTTATCAGATTATTCGATTCTTCTTGCCTAATATTTTTGTGAGTGAGCGCACTCCAGTTGATTTGACTCAATATAAAACATTTGCACCATAGTAACCATTTTGTCTTCTCAATGAGAGATAAGAATTAAACAGCTTTTAACAGATAATTCAAGTATCCATGAATAACTGAATTTCAAATAATATAATGTGCAGCAAAGAGACAAATAATTTGCAAACAAATTTATTATGAATATAATTCAGGCATAAGAAAAAAACAATAGCACTTGTATAATATCTCTTTAAGCAGACTTATTATGCATTGAAATACAGGAGATGTAAGGTTATAGATATTAGTCACAGAACTCTTATACAATATATATCTCCAGGATTGTTCCCTGCTGAAATTTGACAACAGGATGTTGAAATAATATTACCATAAATTAGAGACAATTTTTTAATTAGTAAAATATGAACCTTGAAGACAATAATGATAATCATGCTGGAAATTTTTTTTTTTATTTTGATAACTTTTCTTGAATGGAATTGGCTCCTACCATTTCTTGAATAAGGTATGATTGGTGCAGCTTTAAAAAAAAACATAAAAATTACTTGTCAATTCCAACTTTGCACTATAGATTGGTGTTTAATTAGATAATTAGCTAAAAATAACATGTTATAACAATGTGCATAGTAAATATTGAATATAGACAGAGCTAAACTTCTGCTAAAAATCCTTCTTCAATTGATGCCATAACTGTAGTGTTTAATGACAACCTGAAAAAATAACAATTTAGATTTATTAAATTCATCAAAGTGGGAGCAAGACACAGCATAGGTTCGCTAGGGATCCTTTCTACCAGCAGGTCTGATGTTAAACCTCTTGATCATCCTGGATGACTGTTCCTATTTACAGCTGGGTTGACTGGAATTATGGGTGAAGATAATTTCTTCAAGGTCATCGAAAATTTACAGGCTGGCCAATATTCGAACCCATGACCACCACACAATTGACAATGTAGGGAACCATCACAATTTACATGGTATTAATGTATATTGGAATATCTATATAATAGTCTTAGTTGTAATTAGATGATTAGATATGAGATTAACAGAAGAGCATTTCTACCAAATCTGTTATACTTTCTGAAATTTAAACTCTTTAAAAAATAATCACTTACTCTTTGAAGTCTTTGTTGATTTCCTCTATTTTAGAAGGATTTACACAAACAACACATCTTATTTTATTCACGTCGAACAACTGAGGGAAATAAATAGGCCCCACCCTCTTCAAATCTTCAATAGTTACTTTTGATACTTTCTCCAGTAATTTTCTGAAAAAAAAATTGGATTAACAAAAACAAATGGGCTTATTTGATTCAAAATTTGAAAAAATAATCATAAAAGATTTCAGATAAATCAAAGATGAACAGTCATAAATGGTTAGTAATATTAACCTGAATTATGTCTCTTAATATTCATAATAGATATGACCAAGTGAATGGATTCCTCTTTTATACTAGAATTGTAAAGTAAAGCTTGCTCTTTTATTGCCAAATGATTTTTAGCCTCGATTACAAAGTCATACATTATTAACAACATTATTGCAAAGTTATTTCCAGCGACGAAAGAAACTCCAAATGTTGCGTTGGTTCTGTTAAGAAAAGCAAAGACTAATACACCCCCTATTGCCAAACAAGATAAAACAGGCTTTTGGGTTTCCACCGAGTAAAGTGAAAGCTGACATAACAGTTGGGCAATTGGCCCAGAGGAAATACATGAAAGCTAGCTTTTAGCCAGCTCTTATTTTCAGTGGAAACCGCATTTATACTACAGCTAAATATATGCCAAAAAGAGAAACCTAAAAACTTACTTGTTATAATCATGATCTATTTGTTTAAGATAGGATAACAATGATTGGTGAGATACATCTGATACATTCTTCTCTAGTTCTATTATTTCAAATATCAAACTACTTCTAGCAGCTTCTAATTCAACTGTATTATATTTTATATCACCATTAATATAACCTAACTAATAATAAAATATAAACATATAACTACTATCACCATTAATATAACCTAACTAATAATAAAATACAAACATATAACTATTATCACCATAAATATAACCTAACTAATAATAAAATATAAACATATAACTACTATCACCATTAATATAACCTAACTAATAATAAAATATAAACATATAACTACTATCACCAATAATATAACCTAACTAATAATAAAATATAAACATATAACTACTATCACCAATAATATAACCTTACTAATAATAAAATACAAACATATAAATATTATCACCATTAATATAACCTAAATAATAATAAAATATAAACATATAACTCCAATAATATAACCTAACTAATAATAAAATATAAACATATAATTACTATCACCAATAACATAACCCAACTAATATTTAAATATGAACATATACTTACTATCACCAATAACATAACCTAACTAATTATAAAATATAAACATATAACTACTATCACCAATAATATAACCTAACTAATAATAAAATATAAACATATAACTATTATCACCATTAATATAACCTAACTAATAATAAAATATAAACATATAATTACTATCCCCATTAATATAACCTAACTAATAACACAATATAAAAATATAACTACTGTCACCATTAATATAACCTTACTAATAAAAAAAATATTAACATATAACTACTATCACCATTAATATAACCTATTAACTAATAATAAAATATAAACATATAACTACCATATAAATACAATATAAACATATAACTACTATCACCATTGATATAACCTGGCTGTATATAAATATAACTTCTATATCGCTTTACTATGTGACCTATAACACCATCAAAATAACCTAACCAAAAATATAACTTTTATATTGCTCTACTATATAACCATTAAAAAACAACGTAAAATATTAATGAAAAGAGTGTATACCTTGCCTTACTTAAGAATCAAGTACTATATGTCATATTCAAGTATTTTGACATGTAGGTTCCACTCAAAATGTATACCAATTAATATAATTAATATAAAATATTATTTAACATCATATACCAACTAAATATACTTTAAGTACAATAACATAATGTGCTTACCACTATATCCCTGCCTTCTTTATAAGCATTAACAATATGAGTAGATCTTCCTAGATAGAAACATAACAAACCACTTTCTGGTGATAGATACATACTGAAAATAAACATCATTCAAATTAAGTTCATTAGATTTAAAGAAACAATACATCCAACCATCATTTATGTTATTTTGACTCCAAAAATGCCAAAATATGAATAAAACGTTCCCTTAATGATGATAAAGACAGAGTGTTATATACTTACGTATAACTATAAGATAGTCCCAGTCCTCTTATCTGTTTCCACATGGGTCCTTCTAATTGTGTTAGATATTGTATTAATACTTGTATTGATGGTAAATCAGGATGGTTAAAATCATTAATACATGGTACAGCAATATAGAGATAGGCTGATTCTATACTACCAATACCAGCTAATATACTCTTCTCTTTTACTTCAGTATACGGTAAAATATATTCATAGGTCTTCTTCATCATACCACTAAAATCATTAAATTCAAACATGAATAAAAATGACACGTGTAAGAAAAGCCAATTCTTTGAAAGGAGGATAAAAAGATAAAAAAAGAGAATAACATAATATAAGCCAATTCATGGACAAGATCAGGTATTCTGATGAGTTATGCTAGCGTAAAACTACATTATATACATCTACACTCAAAATTTGACTGCAAACTCACGTTTCTGTGGGTCCAGCGCCATATACAGGCAGAAACTGTCTCCATGGTAATGAAAGATCCTTGGTTAGATTTTTTACATCAGCTGCCACATGGACTCTCAAGTTCATTGGATTTGTCAAAATTTTACGTAAATTTTCAACGTCTTCAACAACCTGGAGTGAAAAATCAATTTCAAGGTTTTAGTTTTGAACTTATTCCAAAAGGATGTGGTCATTTAATTTTTCCTATTATGAGCTGTGACTTGCAACTATAATCAATTATCATTGTCTAGTGAGATACGGTCTTCCATATTAGCACCTACACCTATTAGCACCCGACATAATGCCCAACTACAGTTATGCATATCCTTTGAAGGGTAAAAAATTCTCTACTATGCACTCAAATATATGGTATGACAGCCTACCTTTTTAGGATTGGATTCTAGAAGTTTACCAATAGATGTTAAAAATGTTTCTTGTCTGACAGCACTTACTATATGATGATTACATTCTATAAATAGATTTAAAAAATTTAAATTTCTAAAAGTTACTGCAAATAAAAAAAAAATCTAGTCAAATTTAGAAGTGGTTTAAATTAACAACCACTCAATGGTAATGAGACCCGAAGGTAGAGATTTGAAATTGACCTGTATTTAACTCTTTTCAGTAAACAAGCAAAGAATAGTAGAAATTTGGTAGCAAGTTGTATTTAAAACTACTTAGATAATGTTGTTATTCAAGAACTCTTTCAAATAATCTAACCAAATAAGAGTAGAAAATTTATATATTATAATAACTTCCCAGTATAAGGAATTGACTAAAGAACACTACTCAGTAATCTACCAGCAATCTTACTTAAGTAAGAAATTGATAGTGGGTGTATTTAAAACTACTCAGTTGAATGATTGATGAACATAACTCAGTTATCAAACCTAATAATTAGTAGTAGAGAGTTTAATGAGTTTATCTCTTAAAGAATGTGGCTGACTGTTCTTACCTTTTTGAAAGAGAAGGTCATTAAGTATCATTCTAGCTACAGCATTTCCCTTTCTTTTATAACTGGCAATACTATTCACTAGTCGTTTGGCTACTATCTTTAATCTGTCTTCAGTAAAAACAGTATTATAGAGAAAATCTTGTAGCCATTTTACACCAGCTTCATATTTATCTATTTCTACCTACAAATAAATAGTATACAATACAATTATCAAATAATTACATAATCCTAAGGATTAAAACAAATTTCAAGCAAGCAAATATGATATATTGTTTTTTTTGTCCTTCTCTTCTGCACCTGATTGGGCTAAAGAAAACGAGCATAGTAATGCAGTATGCAATAGGGGATTTTTGCTGGGACAGCCGTAAGTGCCTTCCAATTTCCTGTCAGAAAGACTAAACGCTTTTCGATGTCAGCCCCTCCAACCTGCATCAATGCCAATGGGAAACCAGGTTGAAAAATCCTATTAGAGAGAAACTAAAGTTGATCCATGAGCTGATCAAAATGAGCAACGCTATGAGTCAATTGGAGAGAATTTTGCAGAATAGAGACACCAACTCAGCTTTTATTTTTCTATATCCAAATGTCTTCACTTAAGATACGTAATGTTTGTTCTGATCTGATTTATTAAACATTCTCTCACTTCCTCTCATATCCAAATATTCACAAATAATTCTTACCTTCAGAGTTATATTAAGTAATTGAGGAAAGCTTCCACAAGAGAAGGTAGAGCCCTGAAAGCCCCAACTGGATTCAGCAGAGAGTGTATCAGATTCTAGTTGAGATATAACATCTTCATGGGATATCAACACTGAAATTGATGATACATAATTATAGATAAGCTCTGCGAATATGTACAAGAAACACATATCTCAATGGCACTTCATTTCACAGCACTTTCAAAATAAAATAACACATTATCAAAAAGGACTACCCTGAAAAATGTTCAGATAACACTTGTATCACATATTCTTGTGTTTCCCCTAAACAGGTTAACATCATATTTTTGACAGAGATAGCAAATATGATGTAATGTGATTTTCAAAGCAACCAATCAACATGCTTGAACATACCTATCTTTACAATTTGTTTTGTAAATATATACACATACACAAGACTTGTGAATAACATGGGAGCAACCTTTCTTACCTCCATTTCTTTTGATTGGTATTTCCATTAAGGCCTCACTAAATAGAGGTAGATATAACTTATATTCTTGAGGTACACCAGAAGAATCTATCAGAGCTGTCATCTGAGATTATAGAAAATATTTTGTTGACAGAGGAAAATTATATAACCAGCATGTATTGTCCAAGGTTCATTTGGTATATTCTAATTAATCAGACTCAGGTCACAGATAAGAGTAGAGTTTTACTCTTGGTAACTTAGTGAGCTAATGAAGATGTGCGATACACAACAAGTAAAATTTGGACAGGAGTTAGCATTAGCTTCCTTCATATTGATGTCCAACTAATGAGTTATCTTTAACATACACAGCTTGAAACAAACAAGAATATTATTTTCAAACTAAAACACTAGATTCTTATTCCATGTCAATGAGCAAGTATCCATCTTCCTGCGCCATTACAAACTAGGACCAGTAAACCATGAAAGTTTGCCAGACAAGAAAAGATGCACATCTATAAGAATATGACATTTATTTTCACTTATTTCTCAACAAAAGCTAATGAGTGAACACTTACTTCTACAAAGTTAGTATGTATATCATCTAATTGAAATCTGAATGGTATATCATATAGAGGGAACTTGGTAGTTTTATTAGCGGTAGTGTTATTATGGTTGGAGGACGGAGATATAGGATGAAACTTGATACTAGCAACTTTAGGTACATCTACACAGGTTAACATTGCTGTTGTTGGTTCAATCTAAATAGAAATTTTTTATAACAATAATTTAAAAAATATATAGGGAATATTATTGCTGGCTTGAAATTGTAGCTGGACAAATCTGGTTCTACCGTGTTCCCAAACATGATATACAGATGTGATATCATTATGGCTAAACATCTGTTATTGGACACTTGGTTTTTAATTTTCAACATGACTAAATCCAAATTTGGCTTTTGGTATCTATACAAAGCTGAACTATTATTGAGGTCATCAAGACATTGTCCTACCTCATTTTCCTCTGTTGCCTTCTCTAGGGTCTCAGCCATTTTCTTCAATCCACTTTCTCTTAGCTCTGATCTTTGTTTTGCTACTCTATCTTTTTCTGTCTGTCCCATCTCTTCCATTAATTTAATACTGGGTTCACCAATAATCTGATAAATGAAACGGGGAAACTGGGTTTTTATTGATATATGCCAGGAATGAACACAAAGCCATTAGCTTATTGAGCAAGCATCTAACTCAGTGAATGTTAAGTTAAAGAATAATTATGACTTAAGTCTCTGTTTTACTTACCACAACACAAGGTTTATCAACAAAATATTTTCCAATCAAATTAATCCAATAATCTTCTGATTCTAGTTTAAGTTGTTTAAAACCGTCTATAGTATTCAGTCTTGTCTTCAACTGTGAAAGAAAATAATTTCAACCTTGCTTTTACGTGGTCCCATTTTTGATTCAGAAATTTGGATCAATTAAACTATACATTTCAAAAAACATTTTATGCAAGCATTGATGCAGTATCTCAAATATTAGAAACTGAGTCAACTTTCAGAAGAACTGGCAGCGGTATAAACAATTCTTAAGGAGGATTCAAACTCCTTGCATCCAATATTTTAGAAGAGCAGAACCCAACTCGTTACAGACTGTGCAATTCCACTTACAAACAAATATTAATGTTAGATAGCGATGAGAAACTTGTTCTAAACAGCACTAGCTTTAGTGTGACCGGCTCCATTAAAATTAGAAAACAGTTTGTTGTTACTTACATCATCTTCAGTATGACCATACAGAAAATCACCAATTATTTGAAAAGCTATTGTATCATGAGGTTGATCTTCTACCTTTAATAGAATGAAAGGATTGAACAAGTTATCAAGTTTTTCTTTTTAAACTTCAAAGTGATGAAACTGGGAATTGTACCATTTGCTCTAATTCATTTTGTATTCTGATCAAGCTAAGTCAAAGATCAAAGTTGATAATCTAATCAATACTTCTGTTTTCCAGATAAGGCCAAAAAAAATTTACATACAAATTTATCAACCTTACATTATTCATGGCATCTAAAACATTTCTATGTATCAATGTCTGCATTCTCTTCATATCAAAACTATCTTTTTTTTTAGAGATTCGACTCAAAACTTCTTGTAATCTACAAACATGAATAACATACATTTTAAAAAACATTTCAAGCTTTCTCACAATTCAAAAAAAATTGTATTATAAATAAGCTAGCAATTTCAAATATTTAAAGAGTTTCTTTCAAATAATTGTACACATATTCAAAAGAAAATAGTCAAAATTTATTATAAAACATCAATTGTAAATAAGTCAATATGGATCCTATATTCAGCTGATAATACATACTTTGGGTAGATGTCTTTAGATTTCTGTGTTAAACAGTTTTGAAATGTAAGGTAAATACAGGATTCAGTATTCTCTATTATAGAGTGACCAACCTAAAATAACATCATCATCAAAATTTATATCAATGCTCAATGCATAACATAATGGTTTTATCTAGTTTGGAAACTGTTTGATATTATATTGTATCTCTGGGAAGTGGGAAGTAGTTTCCACCACTTGGTTTGTATCTGGTTCACATCTCAGAATACACTCTATATATAAATTTTCTTTATTTGAATTTATCACATCACATTCACATCATATAAAAATCAGATTGGCTTCCCTACATTAACTCGGAAACATGGGTTGCTTTATTTGTTTTGATTTCATACTATTTTCTAAGAGGTTATGAATGAAGCATAACTGTCATTTATCAATTGATGTCTAAATCCCATTTATGCTTCATTTTCTAAAACAGTTATTTGATCTCAGGTTATTTGAGTTAAGGTTCCTCAAACTACTATTATTATTATTATATTCCATTACATGTTCAGACAGAGTTAGCACTCACTTCACCCAATCATGTTAACTGAAAAATCACAGGGAAAGAGAAAGTATTTTATTCTTAAACAAAAATACTGACCTTACTACAATAGGGTTGTTCTATTTCTATAAAAGTTTTTTCTAATGGTGATATTGCTGAGAGAGATAGGTATTGTAATAATACTGCTATTGCTTGCATAGTATACTGATCCTACAAAATAATAATATATACTAAATATACTCATAAAATACTTACATCCAACAATATATATGAAATTAAAAAACAGTTACCAAGAAAGATACCGATATCAACCCAATTTTCAGTAAGTCTAGCAACTATAAGTCCATAAATAAATATCGCATATAAAATTTGATAAATAACAACAACAGAGCCCTATCGCTTTCACAAGCCACAATATCGAAACATAGCTGTAACTCCATATCACAAAGTCGGCATATAAAAATTCAGTGAGCAGTAAATTCAATAGCAATCTTCAAAATCAAATTAACTTGAACAATAAAAGGAATTATCAAACAGTGGCATGGCCTAGTTTATAACTGCTCTTAATTGATTAATATGATTGTTTCATTGGACCAATTACGGCTATGAACAAAATACTTGATCATTTAATGGTAAACAGTTCATAATTGTTGTATGCAACACCAAAATCCATTCCCACAAACCTTAGCTAAAGGACCTCTCCAGCCTACATAAACCATACCCCTATCTTCATCATCAGAGGGAAAAGGCACTATTGTTTCTACAGTTTTATCTAGACTTGGTACAGAACTCTGCCATGGTCGTTTGAATTCTGTTAAAGGACCCTAAAATAATATTGATTCAATGTTAAGAGAATATTCTCATATCTCATCTCAACTTTTAAAATTTATTAATCCATTGCTTACAGGTTTACATATTTTCAACAACTTCGCAGTTGACAAATATTTTGGCTGTCAAATCTGAGGATCTTCATAATATTTAAAAATTTCAGGTTAAAGTGGAATTTACCTTGGATTTGATGCTATTTTCAACTGGTTGTAAGGCAGCAAAAACGTCTTCTGGTGTTACTTGTCCAGTTATTACTAAACAAAGATTTTCTGGACGGTAAAATTCTTTATGATAATTCATCACCTAGATAAATAAAATACTATATATAGCGGCAGTCTGCTCTATCTAACTTATTCCATTCATATATTATTTGTCAATTAAATTGTTATACAAAGTGGCAATGCCATTTTTAATTTCTAATATCAAACACTTTAAGTGTGAAAGCAAAACATAAAAATAATAACCTTTACATGTGAGGTACTATCTCTTAGATTAGCCATTATACCTCCAGTTTCAGACTTAAAACCACAAATTCCTGGATACATATTTCTTAACATGGCTAGATGGCAGCGACTTTCTCCTGAATTCTCTCTAGCTTGCATTTCACAATATACTACTCCAGCATCTTCACCTTCTCCATTTACATGGTGAACTTCAGTCACATAGCCTGATTCCTAAACAAAGAATTTTCAACAGCAATTTTGAGCATTTGCTGAGTTTTGTCAAACAAATGGTAGTTGTCAGTTCTAATTTTTGTCTTTGTGTGAAAGTCAAATGAATTTGAAAAAGAAATCAACCTCATTATTCTAGTTGACCCAGATGTATGTTGTAATCCTGGAAATGTCAATACCAAGAAGGTTTGGCTAAGGACAATCTGGTAGACATATTTCTTGTGGACCTAAATTGGTCTCCTTGTTATCAATGTATCATGTAACATTACAAAGCAAACATGTATGAAACCACAGACTTCAGAATAAAGTTATACTTCTCATATTTACCTTTAGGGTTGGATAAAGTATATGATCAATATAAATTGGTAGAAGATTATTAAAGCCCTCACTACCAGCATTAGTCATGGTGTAACAGGTATGATCTGTATCAGTCCAAGCATTGGTACCAGAAGCCAAACATCTGTTAGCTAATAAATCTAAGATACCCTAAAACAGAATAATTCACTATCATCGGATATTAATTATCCATTTAATAGTCCACCAATTTAGGAAAACCTTTAGAATTTCTCTTCTTAAAAAAAAAAAACATTATAAGCTTATTCATTCAAAAACCAAAATGAGTCTGTGGTAGCCTGAAGAGACATACTGCCAGAAACAAAAAACACATAAAAGATCACATATTATGGCCTACTCAATGTTTAAACTTCTATGACATTGTTAAGATATTTCATACCTTGTATGGGTATTTTTCACTACCAAGAAATATAAGATGTTCCAATGTATGTGGCAATCCATCATCATCATGAGCCTCAGTAGCTGAAAATATAATGAATTAATACAAAAGTCATTATCAATTCACTTGCATCACATTGCATAAAGAATATCTGGGCAACAAATGATACATAAATTTTCAGTAAATATAATCGGAAATAGAACTAGCTAAGTCTCACCAAAGATGTACTCTGAGGGATAACACAGGTAGTAAGCCAATGAAGATTACAAAACATTATCAAATTTTGCACAGTAAAAATGACCACAGTTTAGACCAGAATTTCTCATTGTAATGTAACTGAAGTGATTCCAAATCATTTTTTTATTGGTTGGCAAGAGTAGGGCCTATCTAAAAGAACATGACAGTAGATGGCAAAAGAATTATTCACTTTGAATGCTAACAGGACTGAATTTGAATGCACAAAGGCGTATTGTACAACGAATATCTCTATTTATTGTGTATTTTTATGCTTCGTTTCGTGCTTAAATTGAATCGAAATTTAGGTCAACCACACTTTCGTGTTATCACAGCAAGAAATAATTATCTCACCAAGACAAAAATATCCGTTGACGAGTGGCCCCTCGACTTGCGCTAAAAACACAGTTAAGCCCGTGTCTTTAGATTTGTATTTCGACACAGGGATGCTGTTGTTAGCTTTTACAGAGTGTAAAAGCTCAAAGTTGTGATTCGCCATTACCGCCAGTATTTTAAAATTGTCATCTTTCGCAGTGTTAAACAGTAAACGAAACAATTAAAATAATACAGCCATACTGGAAAGGCCTAAAACAGACAATTAGCCAATAAGTGAAATATAAAAAATGTCCTAAAACGTAAAATTCTACCTCGACTTGTATTAGAAAAAGGTTTGCCAAATCATTAATAGTAGATATTTAAAAATTGACCCTCAAATTCAAACAATTTAAAAAAAAATCCAAGCTAGTCTCTGCAGAAATTGAGAAATTAATGTATATAATAGAGACACTTATACTTGTGTAAAATGCTGCTGTAAAATTTAAAAAAAAAATCATCTAAATGAACTGAACATAATTTTTCTTTTAAGTTTATCTCTGTAATGTGTGATTTAATTATAATTTTGTCAACCATGTTCTTGCCTAGCATGACATGAAAGTCTGATGATTGGTCAGCTGTTGACCAATATGAGCAGTGATTATCAGGAGAAAGTTGCTTGGACAAGGATTATATGATAATTTTGATCTTATAATTTTAAATTTATAAGTCATACATGTAATCCCATAGCAACGTGTTTAGGTCTGGAAGTTTAATGAAGGCTGTTTCTAAAAAGTGCACATTCTGTAACATATAAATTAAAGACAATGGCAGTTTTTTTTGGCCAAATAGATTCAATAAAGCTATGTTGATGTTAATTGCATTAATTAGAATCCAAGAAAATACCCTGGTTCTATTTTCAATTCAAACTGTGGGCTATTTTGAAAATAGAATAATTTATTATACCAGATTCAAGATGCTAGAATTCTTTTCAAATGCAAAAATACAAAGCATGACATACATCTATCCAGCTCAAATTAAGTCCCCTCCAATCCCTCATAAAATAATCAAAGCCCTTCAATGTTGTGAATAGTATTTTAACAAGGTGTGACAGAGTTAAATGGCATCATTAAGTAAAATATCTTAAATATCCCATGACCAATAGTTTATTGTGTCGAGGTGTAAAGCTAAACAAGATGGCAGAATAAAGATTTAATGGGATTAGAAAAACAGTTAATGACAGCCAACATGTGGTTATCTAATTATAGTAACATCGTTCAGCCAATCAGAACTCGTATAACTGGTTATTATAAACATCCGGTATAAAGAGCTCTGGGTAAGTTTCGCCATCCATATCCACGCTTGCCGGATGCTAATTATTTGAAGACAAAATCTCAATGTTTTAGGCATTCTAATGCCACAAAAGAAACCATGACTCTTGAATACGTATCCGAAGTTGACAGAAAATTTTTTGATAACAATCTCCTCACAAAAGAAGATTGGGGTAAGCATAGAAATCTTAATCATTTTCGACAATATTCAGTTTAGACCACTGCCACCACAGCACTACACTGTCACTGTGTGGCTTGAATTTGTCTATCATTTCACGAACATTATAATTGTCAATGGTCCTCCAATGTCATCGGGTTCATAGAAATGTTGAAAACTTTATCGTTAGAAATAAAAACCTTCCCTTCCACAACCACTCCAGCAAAAGTGAATTTTTCAGTGTTTTCCCTACTAGCCACTTCTAGTGGCACTAGGCCCTATTTTAGCCTAAAATTATCAATTGAATTGAAGATCTAGATCTATTGTTTGTATTCCCTAATTGGGGTTCTAATGTCTTCGACTTCTGGTCCATAGAAATAAATATTTTGAAAAAAAAAAAATACAACTAAGTAGTAGTGGTAGGCTAGATTTGTCTTTCTGTTTTGTCAAATTGAAAAATGAAATATGAAATTTGTCTTTGGCTTAAGGTTGATGAAAAAATTGACTGAGGAACATTACCTGTTCTGTATTTAAAACTGTTGCAAATCCTCTAGAAGAAGTTGCAAAAAAGTCTGATGAGTGCACATCTGGAGTGTGACACATTTTTCTTCCTTAGCAAGACGAACCTACTCAATAAGTTCATTTATCATTTTCCACCTGTTGAAATGTAAATTATCCTTGATGTAAGGTATAAGGGGGTAAAAACTGACACCAGGCAATAATTCCTGAATAATAAATGCAGCTTAAAATGTAATAAATAAAAAAACAATTTTAACTTATGAAATAAATATTAATACACCTGAGTGTCAACTCTGAGTTAGTCATTAGATAAAATGTGAAATTAGTAAGAAAACTATTGTTTTGTTACAGAATATTGATTTGCAACAGATGTGAAAATTAAATCAGTATTTATTGGCAGAATTATTCCTTTGATTATTTATGAGCTTGTTTGATTTAAATTTCCTACTGAATTAACTTCACTCTTATGGAATTAAGAAATAAATGAAATGAATTGGTTTTACATCACACTTTTCTGCACCATGTGGTATGAAATTTAGAACTACACAGGGATGTTATATATCTGCCTCCATTATTAGACATATGATTACTGCAGGGAGTGCATGCAGATTAGAAATGTATTTTTTGACTTGTTGATTTTAAGGAGATACTCAAAGATATATTGATTTTATTAGAGAAATATATTATTGATTATCTGTCTATAATTTCCTTCTGTTATCAAAAGTGTCATAGTAACATCTGATATAGACAAGTTGACACACTGGTTAGTTATTGTTCAAACACGACATCAATATCAAGATGAATTTTCTGTTGCAAACAAAAAATGACAAAATTATGAAGCTGGATTAAAAATCTAGCCTTTCTCACCATAGTCTAAACCCAGCTCACATTCCCTGCTGGTGGGTGAACAATTCAAGGCTTAGTGAATTCTGCTTTGCAATGTTAGGAAGAAATTGCATCTCTTTGATGAGTGCCTGTGGGGCATCAAGCTAGCATAGTCAAGTTAGATTTAAGTCAATATATAATCATTTTCGATGCCTCACTAAGTTTCCCTATATAGCCTTCAATTGGGCTGCCCTTTTCCCTGTTGAGAACTGAGAACTTTTAAGGTTTCTGACCTACAATCTTGGCAAAACCCAGACCAAATCAAGATAGTCTGCCAATCTGCAAAAAATCTCTAAATATTGCACTCTGGTTGTCCCATTATGATATAATCTAATGGAAAAATAATAGACTTAAGAAGTAATTTACTGATCTAGAAAACCATATTACATTTGAATGCTTAGGGCATTTTTGTAATGGGTTGTTTTGTTGTGATTATACCATTCAGTAAATGTAGGCCATACTAAAAACATCTAAACTATATTATTAAGAGTTATTTGAATGTATATCTTAAGAAGTTATTGTTGTCATCAACATGTACTCATAAGCTTGTGCTTACATACATTTTGTAAGCTTATACAATATTAAAATCTGAATTCCTGATGTGTACATATAATATACTGTTTAATAGATTATTTATACATTACAATAAAGTGTCATGTAACACTGATATTCTGTTATTGATTTGTTGTAAGTAGAACAAAGGTATTTGTATTTCAATTCAAATTAATATCAAATTCATTAGTTTCTATGGCAACACACATTTAAAATAAAGATAAAGTTAAGTTTTCTGAAATTTCCCCTTTGTCAAATTTGATACATTGTTAAGTTATTTTCTTTTTCCTTAATTTTGACCCATTCATAGTCTATAATAAATAAATTTACAAAACAGTGCATAAAACACACTCACATAATTGTTTAAATTTAGAATGGATATTGAAGATCAAGAATAGAAAAATTATATATTAGTTTAAATGTATATATCATTATACCGGTACCCTGTTAGTCAAAAATAAGTTAAATAAATTATACCTTGACTAGACTGGAAATCATTGGTGAATAAGGTTATAATAAGGTTAGTACAATTTGCAATGCAAAATGAGTCATTACCAAAACAATTTTAAAGTATCCCAACTTTATTGAAACTATAAGTTCAAGAATAAGAATGTCTGTGTTTGCATTATATCAATGTTAACAAATTACATTATTTTCTTACAGGTGAACCTATGACAGATGGATTTGGTGATATATCAGAATTTCTAGATTTAAATGAAGAATTAAAATCCTTCACAGATGATCTACCTGATGATTTAGTAAGTGCAAGTTATTGCCATTTACCTCAGGGCCACCTCAAATTGGTCATGAAGAAGAAGTTTAGTGAAAGTTGTATTTGTAAATTGTTACACAATTTATTCAGAATCTCAAAATACAAAATGTCCAAATATTTCTGAAACTAGTGTTTTTAAGACATAGCTACGCCCTGAAATGAACAATTTGATAAAATCTGCAATTACAGTCAAACTTGGTATTTGCATTCAGGGTAATAACTGGAATTGGCTTCTTGAAAGAGAGTTATTTTGAATGTGAACACACAAAATTAAGTTGTTACTTAGGTTTCTGGAAATTGTAAATATTATTGTTGCTATGATGTATAGAAGAGTTATGATTATGTATTCCAGATGACATTTAATTCACCACCTCTAGTTGATACAATATTAGATGATTATTGGCAGGAGTTTAATCCTAAAAGTTCTAATGAAGATTTATATAATATTCAAGTGAAAGATGAACCCCTCTCACCATTATCATCAAATTGTTCAGAAACTGGTTCAGAAGGCTATGGTTCGGTAAGTCTCAAGTTAAATCATCTACTAATTTCATATCGAACATTGGTGAAATATCGAAGTGATAATCCATAGTTAAAACATGCAGAAAAGTTAAGACTGTCCACAGTCAAGACTTTAGAATGTGGTACAGGAATTTCTTTTTTTTAATCTCTTACTGTTCTTTTTGCTATTTGCTTCCTAATTTAAGTTAAGATATGAATTTTTAGAACTGTAAATATATTTTTAAGGCATCAGATAACAGTTCCTGTGTTCAACCTGTTATCACATCTCCAGACATCAAAATTGAGGATAATGTCTCGATTACACCATTCATTGTTCCTTCAAATACACTCCCTATCTCATCTACATCTTCACCATCTGTTATATCAACATCATCAACCAGTAGAGTGTTCACAATCATTCCTAAACAAGAAGATAGCAAACAAAGCATTATATTAAATAATGTTAATGGTAACTCAGTTGGTATGTTAACACCTGTCAATGGTACCATTAAATTAAACAACATTATGCAATCGAAAATAAAAATTCAACCCAAACCATGTGAGTCCACAACTTCAACAGCAAAAAGATCTCCGCCTGTATCAAATACAAGTAAGTTTCTGTTTTGTTTCTATTCAAAATTTAGTTAATTTTATCCACTGGTTATAAAACGAGGAATTAAACGTGTGTACCAAAATACTTTTTATCTTATGAATTTTGTTTTTCCATAAATTGCTGGATTAGGCTAGAATGAATTATGTCTTGTTCTGCAGCAAAATTTTCTGAACATGACCTTCATTTTACAGGAATGGTTATTTTCATGGTATTAAATCTAATTGTTTCATTTTATTTGTAGAAAAACCATTAGTGCTAACACCACAAGAATTTACCAAATTAACCTCAACTGGTGCATTATGTTTTCAACCACCACAGTCAAACAGTCCTGTTGCTATGGAAACAGGAGAAAATACCATTCCATCCTTTCACACTTCTATGATTGATGTCACTGATGTATGTTTTAATTTTTATTTGTTTTTTTTTGCAAGGTTAAAACTCAAAAAGTTATATATCTTTATATAGTTTTTAAGTCAGCAAATCATTGAATTTTGAAGTCCATGGCTTCATGAGCATGGTTTTAAGATGGTAGATGGTTGTCTTCAGTAGAATTTGAAATGGCTCATAGCACCGTGTATTTGGGTAAACATCATCAGAATACAAGTTCTTTCTTCGTTACCAAATTCATAATATAAATCTGTAAAAATGACTTAAATTGTACTTGTTTGACTATATTGAATGAATAGGAGTCTGCTTTGAGGCTGGTCCTGAGTCGACTTAATCATTTATTACATCATTTAAGAATTTGAAGCTGAACCTTACATGAACCGTTTTGATATTACAGGTAAAGAATGTCAAACGTCAACAAAGAATGATTAAAAATAGAGAATCTGCCAGTTTATCAAGGAAAAGAAAGAAAGAGGTATTTTCAGGATGTGTTTATGTTCATCCATGTACATTTTAAAAACTTAATTAAGCAGAACATGTAGGCAAGAATTAGATAAAGTCTTTATCTTCCAACAAATTTGATAACATATATTTCCATTAACTTTAATGTCATATCTATATGTATACAGACTCATTATAAAATACTTTTATGTAATGTTTCAGTATTTATCTACATTGGAAGATAAAATAAATAGCTGTACATCAGAAAACCAGAAATTAAGACAAGAAAATGATAATCTCAGAAAGAAAGTGTGTGTTCTTCAGACAGAGGTAGATATTTTATCAGTTACCTTTACTGAAGTCTTAAAATGGGGACCTCAGTTTGGTCTTATTATTAATATTTTCTGGATATGGTGTGTGGAGATCTTTATTCAAAAAATGAGAAGATCAGAGATGATTTATATGAAAGGCTTTTATCTTAAGTGTTATACTTCTTGTATTAGTATCTGTCTGTGTGATGTTACCAATTTAACTCAAATTCAACATAACCATGTACTAATGTATAATGTATATTTTATAGAATGAGAGGTTACGTTTGCAAAGTAGTTATGTGAATATTAAGAAGACAACAACATGTCTGTTAGCTATTATGATTATGTTAGGTTTTAATATTGCTCCTTGGAGGTAAGACATTCTGAAATTCCATACATGTATCTTTTGGATTTGGATAAAATGGGACCAGAAATAAATATTAAATTGCAATAACTAAAACTAAAAGTGTTTTAGAATTGAAATATGATATTTAGCCTGTACAATAAGTTGACATGATGTTTTTGGGGTTATTTTTTGTAGGGATTGAGTCACTAAATAAACTTGTAATGTTGTGGAATGGAAACAATGTTGATAATATAATGCTTGCCAGAATTACTAATATTAATCAACATTAAGCCTATGATCCACCGTTAGTCCAGTTACACGTAATTTACTTAATTTCTTTCTTATAGTTTATTAGATGGTAGTAAATCTGTCTCTAATGATGTCATACCAATACATAAAGGGAGACAATTGATGGCTGTGAGTGATACTGATATGAAATATGAGTCATCAAAACCGTGGTCTGAACCAGCTGATTTCTTGATGAGAGAATTACATAGATTAACAGAGGAGATGACAGAGAGCTCTAGTAATGTAACACAACAGATGTGTCCAACATATTTTAATAAAACAGAATCCATGTTGTAAGTAATTTGGATAATATTTGGTATAATGGTGTAATTTCATGTTTTGTTTTTGCCCCACATTTTGCTATCTGACTAACATGCAGGTTTAGATGTTTTGTTTCTGGTTTTTAAGCATATTTCTTCATGTCATCCATGATCTGATAACATTCTTCAAACTTCTGAAAGCTATCAAAAATCCTGGTAAAAGTTGGCAGACATTTATATTTTCTTTACTTAACTTCAGGTTGGCTGAACAGTTAGCAGGATGGATGATCAGACATGAAGAAGAAAAACAAAAAACACAACAGAAGAAAAGGACTGGTAAAAAGAAAGTAAAAAGTTTAAGGGCATCCTTGAGAGGAGATGTAGATGCATACAAAATGGAAAAAAGGTAAGATTTAGTCAGTGACTTGTGTGATAGATGTATTTTACCCTTTATGTGGGCAGATATTTTTCAATACAGGAGTGTTTGTTTGCCACATTCCTTTAGGCCTGAAATATATTTCTATAAAATGCACAATTGAATATAAATGAAATATTATGTTACAGATTAGAAGAGAGAGCATATCAAGTACAGATATTTAATGGAGCTGATGAAAATAAAGATTTTCTGCATGCTATACATCGTAGAAATGATACATTCTATGTTTTATCATTTGATCAGGTATGATTATATTATAACAATGTTTAAAATAAAAACGGGACTAAGTTCAAGCTTTCATGTGCATAGATTGATAATACTTATTATAGAAATCTGTTTTATGTATCAGAGAGGGATAATTTGATGACAAAGATAATATTGTATTTCAGGACTATTTTCTGGTGCCTGCTACAGCCCATAATAAAACAATGAGACCTAGAATGTCATTAGTTATGCCTGCCATGACACTCAATGGTAAGTTTTAATCTTTATATTGATAGTCATTGATAATTGTATATAAACAAGGTAGAATATTATACACTGTTTAGTATATCAACATTGAATGAATTATGTCTTATAAACTGAAATATTTAGGATAAATATCACTACTTGGTATTATTTTCTCTTACAGAAACAATGAAGCCCCCAGCAGGTAGTATTGGTATGATGCAGATTGATTGTGAGGTAGTTAGTACACAGCTAATACATGTACATAATTCAGTTATACCACCACATCTTAAAAAAAATACTACTTTCAATAACCAACATAGATACAAACACTCTTCTAGACCTTGATTTTTATAAAAATTATTTGGATCTTAACGTTAGGGATGGAGAAATGAAATTTTGCTCTCTAAGCTGGATAAACATAGGGTGCTTGGTAAATTTACTGCTATGAAAGTAAAATGTTTGATGAAAATGGATGGTAACTGAACTGTGAATTTCTCCATCCCAAGTATTTAAAATGGGAATTTAAAAATTAACTGCCATCAAGACATAATATGTGTAGTGTTTTAAGAAATTATGTTTTTTTTTAAACAAAATTGAAATGTATGGTTTTTTATATGTTGTTTGTTAAGATTCTCAGTTTAAATATTTAGGTCTGAACTAACATTTTATACAGGGTATATACTTACAGAACAAAAATATAATATCAAAAGTACAATACAAAATTTATAATGTATTTTACCTGACCTTGCGCTTGCCATGGCCGACCGGTTCTACAGAGCAGTAATCAAGATATTTATAAATTTTCATGAATTTTGATACAGGGGAACAAGTTTTACCAGCTCTGGATTTTAATTATGTAGTTTTACATGGTTACTGCAGACTCAAAAATCGTTTATTTGTATGCATATATGTGAATCCATAAACAGATGAAAAACTGAGTGACACCTTTTAGAATTTTTTTTTTCATATCTGACACATTTTGAATTTATTCCGTTTCCCCAGAACTGTTTTAAAATCATCACCCTGTTTTAAGATACTAAGTAAAAACTTAACTCGACCAAAAAGTATTATACAAATGCTATTAAATACATTATATCATCAACTATAGTCACACCATATTTAGTATTGTCATATCAGTAATTATTTTTGATGACTTTATAGAAAGTTAATTGTCAGTGGCTTAACTAAATCAAAAACAATTCATGTTCAATTATCTTCATTAATGATTGCATTTTACCACATTATTATGTAGAGCCCTGTATTTCCCTTGTTTGTGGCTTGAATTGTATGGACTGCTATGGAAAAATTGTATAGCTGGTTGGAAGCAATATTAACTTTGTGATTTTTTTATGTCAAATAGGACTTACAGCAGTAATACAATTTTACTTCCTGTGAAGTCTTCACACATTCAAGATCAGTGTGAATTGAAACCTGACAATAAAATCCATTACATATTTATCATTACAAAAATATAAACACTTCATAATTGTCTTGGCCAAATATCTAACTGTTAAAAACTTTTTTATCATTACTCCAAGGGTGCAAAATTTTTTGCGCAAATGTTCATCTTTCATCATGTTATATTTGGAACTAGTCTAAGTAGAAATTATTCACATCATTCTATGTTAGATAGAGTTTTATTGGTGATTGTTAAGTTATTTATGTTAAACTAGAATTGTAAATAATTATGTAATACATGTATCATTCCTTAATATTAATATATTATTATTTGTTAATTTTTATTTTGTTTTGAGTCCAACAATTATGTTTCTTGATAATATACCAAACTATCTATGCAACACTAGCTAGAAAAAAAAACCCAAAATTGATTATTTTCATGCTAAGTTGGTAAGGATCAACATGTTGGACTTGAATTCTTTTGAATAATTTGTGCAATGAAACAATGGAGGATTTGATGTTATTGTCTTCTAAGAGTGTTACTTGTATTTTGTGATTGTTTTTTACACATCATAGTTCAACCTATACCTTTCTAACAACTAAACTATAACAACATAAGTTAATATAAGATTATTTTTTAGTATGATCACTATAGTGAAATTAAAAATGTCATTTGTTCACTGGTTCAGACCTATGGCAAATTTCTCTCTTTGTCTTACATTTATAATGAATTTGCTAGTGAAAGATTAGATCAGAGATTTTTTAGTCAAACTAGGCCTACAGATTAAAACATTGTAAGGTTGTTTTATATTTTAAAGAAAAAAGGTTTTGGACTATAGAAATCCAGTTTTAGTGAAAATTTTAAGAATAAATTAGATTTAGTTGAAATTAGATATAAGATGATATCGTAAAATGATGTAATCTGTTGACTGTGTTGTGAATTTGTATATATTTACTATTTCTTATTAATAGTGGAATTTATCATTATAATCATTTCTTTATTTAGTTAGATTAGTGCTATATATCTGTAGAAACCCCTCTTTTTCTTTAATATTCTATTCAGTATTATAGTTTAGCTGAAAACATGTACTAGGACAACGAAATTCCATTAAGGTCTAAATATATCAGACTTCTACACTGATAAAAATTTACTTAGTTTGTTTAAATCTTTATGAAAATGTATCATTTCAATTGTCTAAACATCGTTAGTTTAGTATTTTTCAATTATTTTGGTTATTTCTTAATATCCAAAGGTTATTAAATGATTTGATTAAGGCTAACATGAAATGATAAAGAACAAAGTTTCTACAACAATGAAAAATGTATTAATATCACTAGTTAGAATAGATAGATATCTTATTTTTATTGAACTTTTGTTTTTACAGGTAAGCTTTAAGGATCTAAATTCTTTTTAAAATTTGAATAACGATATAACTTTCTTATGTTATATTCACTACAATATAAAACACTGCTTACAGCTATCAATTGTGTTCTTTTCACTACTCCCCTTAGTTTGTTTGTAGAGTAGGTATATAATAGCTTCATTAGTTAAGATGTCTTTATATTAAATATAATTCATGATAATAATATATACATATTCATTTATAATTTATTTATTTCTTAATTTAATGCATAAATATATTTATAATATTTTTATTTGATACTCAGTTTGTCAGCATGGCACATCAGACATACCCAGCTCTCCCCTTTTCAAACCAAAATCTACTTCTTTGCTTTTTGTTCGACACTTAGTTAAGAATTACTGTCCATCACATTGTGTCAATATTTTGTATAATAATTATTCTAGTTTATTTGATATGAAATTCTAATTTTTACATGTAGAACAGTAGGTTCGGTTCATTAAGTTTTACCCTCTTTACCTTTGTATTTCACCAAATTGTATTACTATCAGATTATGCACTAGAATATTGTGCCTTAAATATTTCTCTACATTTTGGTGTTGTTTACTTTTGTGATGTCTTTCTATAGACGACATATTTTGAATAATAGAATTAATGAAAATCTTTTTTATATCTGAGTACAATGTATGTATTGATTTTGTATATCACTATCAACATCATTATTGTGTGCCTTACATTTTACACAATGCAATTTCAGATTGATGATTTTCTTTGTCTTTTCTGATATTCTTTGAAAGCCATTTTCAACCATAATCTCAATATTTTTACAAAATTAATGATAGTGAAAAATACTATAATGATTTTATCAAAAGGTTTATCTGGTAAAATTTTAAGGGTTTGTAGTTTTCGAAGGGATTATGTTAATAAATATTAAATATATGACAATTTTGTTCAAGGCATATTTCCATTATTATCATTTAGTACACTGTGTTATTTCATTTAAAATGTAAGGTATATCATAAATATGTATAAAATCGTATGTTTCATAAGTCATTTTCTAGTAAGAAACGTCATTTGCTGGATGACCAATTGTATAATTTGATGAGAAGATCTTATTTTACTTGTTAATTGTGATTGTCAACACTTCTTTTATTGAATAATTGTTAATATAAAGTATAAATATTGATAAATTTATTAGGTGGGTAACTTGATAAATAAACATATATGTCTATTACAATTATATTTATTTATTGTATACATTTATAAATTATAGAATATCAAAATATATGTAAAATTATAAAGATATACAAAAAATCCACAGCCACATGGAATATACAAAAAACGGCTAAATATCTTTTATCAAAATGTCCGGATGTGTTCTGTATGTCCATTAACTTTTCTTGGGTTTCTTGGCTTTGCGTTTCTTTGGTTTAATCTTTGTTCCCAGTATCTCTTGTCCCATTCTTTTACAATCTTCTCTAGAAACATAACCTTCATTATCTTGATCATGATCAAAATGGAAATCATCACTGTCACTAACATCTTCTTCATCTAATCTAACACGAACATTATCTGATGGTAGCTTCAACTCCAGGAACTCTTGAAGCTGTGGCAATAAAACATTAACATTGGTCAAATTGGCTGTAGCAAGCTTCCATAAAATATTCTTGTCATTTGTTGCCTTAAAAGAGTTAGCAACATGAATGTTTCCAATATAGAAAGCCATTCAAAAGTTATTTCAATTATGTGTGAAGTAGGACCTGAAGCAGTTGGATTATTTTCCCTCAAGGATTCAAACTTTTCTTCTTCTCCAGATCTAGTCACTATACCCATCACCATCATTTGATTGGTTGCATATTTTAGTGACCTAGAACATGATTTTCATACCAATTTCTTCAGATCAGGGAATGAAAATGTAGTCTATACCAAAAAAGAACGAATTGAAACATTTAGATTGCTAGAAACATTTACCCTTTTATTGTTTGCATTTTTCAAAGTAACACCAACACTCTTCTCAAAATTAATTTTCTCAGTTAAAGATTCTAATTTTCTTTCACAATTGGTTAAATCCTCTACAGGATCTGTTGTACTGTAGTTATGGTATGGCTGAAAGATAAGTAGATGATTTGCTGTACTTAATTCCCTGATTTCTGCAGTGGACGTATGTTACCATACCTAGCAAGCTATAGGGCCTATATTTTTCATAGAATTTTTCGCTTTACATTGCAGTTGTGTTTCTATCAAATAAGGCTGGTGGTTGGAGTAAGGCCAAAGATTTCTCAAGGAGGCTCACAGCACCAGGTATTTGAGAACATAATGCTAGGACATTTAAAACTACAGATTAAGATATTTACTTTTCTCAACACCATCTACTTACAGGCTTTAGTTTTATATCTTTCAGTTTTTCAAATAATGTTGAAATACCATTCTGTAAATCAATGAGCAATTTCTCTTTCTTGGTCATTTCTGACATAGCTGCTTCCCGTTTCTCTTTTTCCTTAAGTGCAACATCTTCCATGTTATCGACAAGCTGGCGTCCTCTATAATGAAATGAATTGAGTTTCGTTAGTGAAATAGGGTACAGATAGCCGAGGCGGGATTGAGTGTAACAACTCATAAAAAATTGACTGTATCAATGTACCAGAACCACAAATCCCCTTATAGATAGATGTAATACTTACTTTTGAGCTTGCCTCTGACTGGTGAATTTGAGCTCTTCGAATGTCTTCTTCTGTTTTTCAAGTTCCTCACCAAGCTTAGATTTCTGGACCATCTTATCTTTCTTCTGTTGAACAAGTCTTTCTCTTGTGTCATCTTGGTTGCTAAATCTGAATATTACATCCTACAATAATAAAACCAGCTAGATTATCAAATAAGAAAAGAACACATTCATAAATGTGGTGGTTATCATTCAAACCAAGTGTCCAAGTCACTTGATCGCAAGCAACTCATCAAAAACCTTCATGGTGCAACATGGATACAAATGAAGCTTCAAATGAAGTTTCTGCTTCAAACGAAAAACTATTGAGTATACTCTTAATGGGGGCTATGGTATACCTTGGAAAGCCACAAAACAACAAACCTTTATATCTGATACGTTGATTGCCTGTTTGATCTTCTCAAAAGCTGTTTCTAAAGTTAAAATCTTTTCATGTTTAGCGGCTTTCATTGCTTGATGCTTAGCAACACGATCTGAAACAATACGATCTGTGGTATTATGGAGAAATGTTCTGTTTTGTTGCAACAGAAAACGATACTAACAATGTTATAGCATCAATCACTTTTGACCAGCCCCAGTAGCAACATATCAGTGTTCCGGAATATATACTCACCATTATTATCAGTAAGATTTGGTACTTTTACCTGAAACCAGATGAAAAATACATTATTTTTTATTGATGAATTTGTACAGCTGATTATAAATAAATGCATTTCTTCCAATTTACGTGTTCTAATACAATGTAGATTTACGTCATCTTTGGAAAGTTAATTAGGAAATAGTAAAAGACTTACTCTCTTATCGTTTCTCATCTCTACTGGTTCTTTCCTTCTCTCTACGTCTCTCCTGGTCTCTGTTAATTGTTGATCTCTTGTTCTTCTGGCTTGATACATCTCTCTTTCTAATGCCATCAGATCTGTCTGCAAGTTAAGATATATTTTCGTGGAAATTAATACATTATATGATTTCATAGCCTTTACATCGTCAAATAATGTTTTACATCAACATCAAACAAAGTACCCGGGTTTTATTCAAAAGGATGGTTCACTGGCTAACAACTGATAGCAACGCAATCGACTGGGGAAGTTCTGTTTCGATGCATACCAAATAAGTTTCTGATGCCCCTGTCCTCTGACTGCCTGTGCCGTTCCTGATCGACTCAATGAACCGGCGTTTACGGAGCTCGGGAATTGACATCAAAGGCATGAAACGCCAGAAGTTCTGTGATACGCAATCTGAAAAAAAACGAGGACGGTGATTTCTTTTTTCGCAACTGCTGTTGCTGAAGTGATATCCTCCAGAGTACCTACTTTGTACGATCAATTTCTATACCTACCCGAGATTCTTCATTGCTTGATATCGCTTTTTTATTCATTCTTTTTAAATCAGCGTGTTCCCTTCTGGCGTCATTCACCATTTGTACCATTACATCTAATTTAGATGGAAACATACGACATTCCTAGAAATAAAAATAACATTGTTTAAAAATACATCCACAATGTTAGCGACGTAAGAATTATGGCGTTTGATAAAGAGATAACGAGTAGAATTCTCATTCTGAAGTCAGTGATAATAGAAAAAAGGTCCTCTGAGATCCTTTATATCAGATTCGTGGTCAAATGTCTTAGTATTGATCTTTCAGTTATTCATATTAACTGCGTTGACTGAAATAGTTACTAGTTAAAAGAAGAGTTTCAATGTATTGTTTGTCTGTCAAATCTTTTGATGTTGATGAATTAAAGGTTCAATGACAGTCCGTAGCCTACAATGATTTACCTCGGTCAATATCTGTAAGATCTCTTCGTATCTTCTAGTGATGTTTCTGGCAGCTTCATACTTAATTCTCGATTTATCACGATCATTTTGTAGACGTCGAAATAGCTGAAAAGTTAAATGGAGCATTGATCGGAATTGTAGGTCTCGAAACGTAGGACATATGGGTTCAACGAAAAGGGTTGTCAGTTTCGTCTTCATTCCTGGTTTTAAAACCTTTTTGATCCATCGTACCGCAGTTCAGAATTGTATAACTCTGACCTATAAAAATTATTTTGAGAGGCATTTAACGGGTCAAAAGGTACAGTGCACCAGTTTTAGTAACTTGAAAATGGATGCGGACCTATACATACAAAATTATCACAATTGATGCACGCAGTAAAAACACAATAATTCTTACTCTTTCATGATCCAAATCGACATCTCCGGTGCTAACTTTCAAAATTTGACTTAGCTTTAGTTGTAATTCCTCCAGTTTATTTTCTTTTTGTGACCTTTGATATTTCAATTCATTTAAAACTTTGTTTGATTCACAAGACTTTTGATCCATTTCACTGATGGCTTTCTGAAAGATCAAATGTTGTAGCGTCAATTGCCACCTGAGGACCTTGCACCGGAGTTACTCGTAGATATGTGGTCCAAAATGTCAAAAATCTTTATGCTTCACTCTTTATCAGTTGGATGTACATTTTCTTCCTTTGCAATATGTACAACCACAGATACTACGAAAGGAAGAGTCGGGAATAACACTTTACAGAAACAGTTCAAAATGAACTTTTCTGCACCTGATTAGGCTAATGATTTCACTTTTTTGTGTCAGGCAGTTGAAACTGGATTAGTGTGTAGTATAGTTTAATTACAACCTTAACTTACTAACCTGTGCTGAACGTCTTTTCAAAGACAATAATTCCTCTTTTCTCTCTTGAAACACTGACTTGATTACATGTTTGTCACCCTAGAAAACGTAATTTTTATTTTACAAGAATCATAACAGGGACAAAATAAGACGCTAGTTTCTAATTTATACTCGGGTGTAAAGTATGGTATAATAGAAATTACTTCGGATATTTTAATGGATTCAAGGTACGTGTTTATACCTGCAAGTACATGATAACAAAGATTCTGCACTGGCTTGGCTAATCAACCACATGTAGGGTAATATTGCGAACAGGACAAACCACCAAACCTCTCGGAAAATTTCAGTATAGTGTACCTGAATACTATGAGCTATAGCTAATCTTTTATATTTGTTCTCTGCCCTTAATTTACTTATCATAGCTTCATTTTCAGCCTTTGTGGCTTCTGATGTTTCGTAGCAGGCTTTGGCATCTCTTTCTGTGGAAAGAAAAGATCACAAATTGAAGATCATGATGTATAAGTTTTCTAATCGGTAGCGGTAAGCACGATCGGATATAGATAACCTTGAGTTTCGTCCGAAATTTGTGCTTTCTGACATATGATCATATAAAAAAAAGGTAGAAATATAATTTCTCTGTCATTTAAAAAGTTCATAAATCAAACAATCAACTGTAGATATACGTAGTGGAAATCTGTTGGGTTTGTTTGTTTGAATAAGAAAACTGAGCTGATTATGTCTTAAAATAAATTCAAAACGCGTGTCGCTATAGTATTTTGATATTATTAGGCCGATGATGTTCAATAATCCTCGAGGTTGCTCTCCAGCCTTACAATCTTACCAGAACTTTGTTTGGTTTGAACTCTCGTCGCAGGTGTCGCTAGAAAGGCAGGGCATGTTTATTCTTTCAAAGCACCTAAAGATAATGTTCTCCTACATGGTCTAAAATGATCTCCCCAATACAACTGCAATGGGCTGCTATTCTATAATAAAATTGATTTATTTCAAATTATTTACTGTGGACTTGCCTATTAGATGAAGTTTTCCTCTCAATTCATCAACCTGATCCCCCAGATTAGACGCAATCAAATTAGCTGTTTCGTTTTTAACTTTACTTGCCGGCATTTTACTGGAAAAGAGAGTTAATTATAGGCTATATATTATCTAAAGCAAACTTACAAGCTAAATTGGAAGAGGTGAATAGGCTAAGGCTGGAAAGACAAATCAGGCAGAGAGGCCTATCTTTTTTCATATTAAAAGTAGCCTTGGTAAATCTGAAAGCTTTTGTCAAAATAGCTTTTTGAACATAGCCTAGCTCAACGGTGACGCTGCAGCATAACTTAGGCTACTCTCAGTAGGCCTACTAGCCTAAATTATGAATAAAGTTAAACAAGATCAGTATTCTATTACCTGCTTCCAATCGCTCAACTTAGTTAAGCCTACCGGTAGCCTACCTTACGTGTTGCCGACCAAACTAAGATGGTTATACTTGATGTTTTCTCTCCTTCTCCTTCTTTGTTGTTGATAGGATGAGACAAATGGTTACCGTTGGAGTTAAGAATGGTGTTAGAACGTCATAGTAGGCTTATTGTGATGTCACAGACCATAAAAGAAATGAGGGTGGGGCTTTGGGTGGTCGTGAGTGGAGGGTGTGGGAGGGTTGTTTACAGACTATAACATCAGTAGCTGGCCAAAATTGAAAATGGACAATGCTTTCAGTAGCAATGCAAACGGAAAATAGAAATAATAAAAATGAAATAATTTTGTTCTTGTAGATGGGTTATGGTGTTCTAGTAGTTGGAAAAAGTGAAAACAGAACCAAAACATATTTAAAGATAAAAAAGTTATAGAATATTTAAGATCTTTAAAAAGTGGGCGTGGCAAATGAAATTTTTTTTCTCTTTTTCGTTGAAATACAACCCGATCGCTTAACTTGGTCATTTTTGATGATAACATCTTGAAATTCTACATGGAATATTCATATCTCCTGTCGATGAAAAACTTTACAGAATTAAAATATCTTGATTAGTCTTTGAGATATTCCATGATGAATGGGGTAAATAGTGAAGAAATAGGGTCGTTATTTGTATGATTTCTTCACACTCATTTTACAAGTGATATACAGAACAAGTCATTATAAGATTAAAACTATTTTATAATACATGTAACTTAATTATAATATATTTTAAAGACAATAGGTAATTTTCATAACATCATGAGTTCCTACATTCCCAAATTTGAATTGGTAAAGCACACACATAGGATAGGCCTACCAAATAATGATAAAGTGAAAATAGACTTTTTGATCAAATAATTGCAATATGCCTGAAGACCTATAAATCACTATGTGTTGTTAGTATATTACAATGCACACAAATTTAAAATAGAGAACCCAGGAATCCCCACCATTTTCTAGACACTTGAAGTCTGTTATTTAGTAGATTTAGAGTATATGGCTGTCTACTCTTAATCAGTATTTGACACATGTATTCTATGATAATTCTGCTGGTGGAAAATATTTTCATACAGTTCATTCTTGAAACTATTATTTTAATCAATTATTTTCCAAGAATAATGAAAAATAATTCGGCTATGATAATCAAGGATACTTCAACAATGATGAGGGCATGCTAACTATTTTGGAACACTGTCCTGCATGTGAAGGTATCCCTGATTCTAAAAAAGGCTGTTGATGGTGGTGTTACAACAATAAAAGCTACAGTAGACCCAAATTTACATGGTCAATCAGATATTTATCTGGATTGAAATGTTCTATGGGGACATTTCGGGGGAACAACCATGTCACGGCAACGCGTTGATATTGTTGACTCCAAGGAAGTTGGTTATGATTTTGTGGAAGCCCGGGCGTTGTGATGCGGATATATGACAACGTGTGTTGGAGAAATGGTAAGATTGTCGGTAGTATCCTTTAACGATAAGTTGAGTTGTGCCAACAGATCTCTCCCCACACCATGACACCCCATCGTACCACCTCTTGAATTTCACGCTATTATCACTGAAGACGATGATGTTGAGCTGCCAATGG